AAAAATACACTGGGGAACAGCTTATACCTGCTTTTGAACGTCATGTTTATAGACAATTTAGCAAACACTGCTTTTCCTTCCCACTAAACTGTTGGACATGCTCTGTGCTCCTGTTAGAGATGGACTTTGACATCTGCTGGAAGGGCACCTGCACTTTGCTCACCTGTAACTGAAGGTGTGGCCCATGGATATTGCAGCCCCTGGTCCACAACCTGCCTAGATCAAGAAAGCCAACCTCTCTGCTGGGGATTACAGACTCTGCAGGATGCACCTCTGCATTAAAAAAGAGAGAAGCTCCTGAATCCTAGCTACCACTTTTGCTGCTCACAAGCTTGTTATCAGTAACACACTTTTCAAACTCTCCTAGTAAATGATAGCTTTAGTAAATTTCTACTTCAATTAAATACGCTCTATTTAGATTTTATTTTCCTCCAATCTGCATGGCAAACATCAGCTTCTGTTTCAAGCTGTTTTATGTCATTGTTAGAATTCATCTCACCTAATGCGTGAGTCTGTGAGATGCTAACTTTCTTAATCTCGAACAGTACGAGCTCTCAGGATATTGCACCGCCACTTCTTATTTGTTGTTACACTCAGTGTCTCCAATGAAAGAAACTCTCTACAGTAGGGCTCTAGTTACAGATGGGAACAACTTTCTGTATGTTTATTGGGCAAATTGTTCTTATTTTTGTGCAAAGATCTGGCATGGTACATTTATTGGGAAAATCCAAATGAGAGAGAAAAAACATGAAGATTAAACAACAAAAATAAAGCCTACAAATATCCAGTTCATCCAGTTGATAATTTGGCTCCTCAAGGATCGGAGCAGTTGTTCCATAGCAATAATTCTTCACATCAAAAGCGATTACTGATGATTTCACTCTACAGGGACAAACATAGGTTTGGTCATGGTTATTGTTATAATTCCCTCCTAATCTGAGGAACTGTATATATGTCTGTAACAGACCAAACTTCTAAATTGTATGGTCTATTTCCTAGTACACCTAGGTTATTAAGAAAATGCATCACTTTTCAAAATCCCCATGTTTTGTGCTGATTCCCTATGAAAACGTGCTAAACTGCCAGAATTTTCTCTTAGCAAAATTAAGCTTCTTGTCTTGGCATTGTAAAATCTTAAGGGAGCCTTATATCTAACTGCAAGAAGACTTGTACAAGTTTTCAAGAGAACAGCGAGGTAGCATATGAATACCTTGTTTCTGAGTGCACACCTGGTGGATATATTATCCAGTCCTTAATTACCAGACCCTGTGAACAAGCCTGCTTGACCACTCGGTTACTCTTCTGAGAGATACAACCACAGAACCCTGCACAGCTAAGGGGCACCCTGAATCATCCATGAGATACAGTGAAAACACGGAATAGACAAATGAAATGACTACTTGTGAATTAGGCTATTACAAAGTCATACATATCAGATATTAGGCAATCCACTTTTGGGGATGTGGAAGGAGCTTTCAACATAAAGTCCAGCTGTATTATTCATAGCAACTAGGTAGTACATTTTGTTTGATGCAATTTCCCCAAAACCACGTCTTTCAGCAAATATTTATGATGCTGAATTCAAATAAATAAATAAAAAAAGGTAATCTGTTTTCTCAATTTCTTTTGCACATTGAAATTAAATAGTGGCTAGAAAGTGACCATTTCAAATTATAACTGAAAATTGCATTTTTATTAAATGTGAAAACAGGTACCCAAGAAAACCTTTATACATTTTTATGGCAAGTTTTCCCATTACATGAGAGGCGTTCTTACACATTTTAAGCTTAAATGAAGAACAGTGACCAAACAGAAGTTTGGAATAAAATTGCAAAGCTGTTAGCTATGTTGAGGGAAACTATGGCTGCACAACTGAAAACAAGATGGAAGGACAAGTTCACAAAAATAGCTCATTTAGTGAAAAATGCTCTAATAAAATAAGAAACAGAAGAAAGCCAAATCTGTTCCACATATCAGTAATAGATAAATACACATGCTCCTGCATTGGTAAAATCTTTAAAATAATGTCTGCTTAGGGAAGACCTAATTTGAGATTCTAGACTGTCCATGATCAAGCATGGTTTTAGCATATTAGCAGTCCCACTTTCCTGAAGGATACTACTTGTATTCTTAAATCTGTTTAAAATTAAATACGTGCAGGCTTAATTTCAAACAGATGCAAATGTGTTTGCAGGATCAGAGTTTTAATGTGCTGAGTAGATGATCCATTTATTTTCTCTAAATTTGTTACTGTAATTTGTTTCCAGGATAATACCACTGGCAGACAATTTGCATGCATGCACTCAAAGCAGTATTTTAGGTAAGGACTTTTTTCTTGTTTTTCAGGCTGAAACATCATTTTGGTAATTTCATCAGATCCTCTGTTTATATATCTCAGTTTATATATCTGACAAATATTGTCACACCTCAGATAGATAAATTATATATTTCACCCAGATCAAGGTGAAATCCTACTAAAAAAATTACCTTATGTGAGGTGTGTCATCAAAATTTGAGCAGGACAACTGGCATCAGCAGCAGCTTACAGGACTGAGCCAATAATGTCTGGAAAGTAGAGGAAGCTGCATACACTAAAATTTAAATCTAACTCATTTATTCTCTGAGTGTACTGATTTTTTATAGTTGTTTCATATCATTAAATCCTGAATTAGATCCTTAGTGCGATCAGTTTGAAGAGAAATGAGCTGTCACTGATGAAAGAGTTTTTTGGGGTTTATTTGAAAGATGTGATTTGTCAGGATTCCCATCCTTAGGGCCCAACCAAACCCAAGTGTGTTTGGGACAAGAGCCATGGTTATATCATCACTTACAGTGAATTAAAGAAAAATAAGTTTACCTGTACTGATCGTTTTTTTTTTACATTGTTAAGCTCTATTTTACATTCTCCAAATGCAAATGTGTAGGGTCAAATATTGAAGAATCCAGTCCATATTTAGCAACCACAACAGCAACAAAGAATCAGAGCTGACTAGGAACAGGAGATAACACTTACAAATAGTGAACTGATCTGAGATAGAGAAATCAGTGCAACATGTATCAGCTGAAAATTCGTTTTGACTGGTAAAGGGAAAAAAATAATAAAATGTTCAACAGTGAATATTGTAACAGCTGGTCCCTCATTAAATCACCCATATAACTCCAAATCATCTACATGCAGTATTTCATTTGCTAGCCACAGAACAGGGGAAAATTCAAATGATTTTTAGCCAGTTCAAGAAGCTGCCCTTCTGACACATGAATTGCTGTCCATGAAGAAGCAAGATTCTGTTAACTTCTTCCTAATTTGAATTATTTAAAATAAATAATTAGCCTATATATTTCTTGTTGCGCATTCCCATTCCAAGGGAAAGCAACAGCTGGATGTCCTGGGACATGGGGCGTTTAATCCTATATTAAGGGGAGCTGGCTGGTAAGTCTGAAAGCTGTTACTGTCTCTGAATACATGACCCATTGGCAGCCTGGGCTCTGCAACCAGAAGGCTTCCAAACAAAAAATGGTAAATGTGGCCTCAGCCACAGGCTGATGGATGACCCTCTGTTCTGGGGGCTGTCACTCTGAGATGCCCCCAAGTCAAGCTGAGGCACATCTATGCCACTGGGCAGCACACAGCGTGCCAAAGACTCAACTCAAGGTTACTGCCGTGTTTTTTACATGCACCGACCTCACTCTATAGTGGAGGAGGGGAACATGGAATGCAGCTGCAGTTCGTCCTCACGCTCAGACCATTAAGAAAATAATGGAACCCATACGTGCAAATATCCAGGTATTTTTTTAATGCACATGTCAGGTCACATGCTTTACATGTGATTCATACAGCCTCCTCCTTGCCCTACACCCTGTTGTTGCCTACACAAGACTTAGACATGGAGATAAAATCTGGTTATGAATACTCCTTTTCATAGGTTTATGCAGCAGGTAAAATACCGGTTTCACTGTGAAATTCACAACTGAATCCCAATTTCAGCTGATTTCTACAAGGGCAGAATATTTGCCAGAGTTCTCACAGCATGAAAGATCCATTAGTCCCTATTTCTGCTACTCTAAGATTTCATCACTTCTGTTTTTAAGTTGTCTTACTTTAACCTTGCCTGAAAGACCTACTTACAGAATCACATCTATTTACTTCTGTATTAAAGAGAGAAAAGTATCTAAAAACCCAGTGTGGAAAAAATATCCTGCACTGCTTAAAATAAAATTCCTCCCAGGGCTGGACAAGTTCTGCCATTATCAATAATGCTGTTGCATAAGGACTGATAAAAACAGCAGTGACATGACACACTGGTATGTAGTGCATTAGAAACATAAGCAGGAGTAAGAAGTCAGTGCTTGGAAATAGTTCTTTCTTTCCACATTAATACTCTACATATGATGAAAATCCTACAAGATTTTATAAGCAAAAGAAAGAAAACAAATGAACAAGCAAAAAGCGCAATGCATATTTAAAAAAAAAAATCTGAAGGGATACTTACAATTTTAAAGTTGAGTATTTGACATGTAAGATTGTTTTCTAATGGTTCAGCTGCAGAACCTATGTATGGTTATTATCACCTGATCCTACCAGTGCACATGTAACTAACTTTACACATGTATGTAAGCACAGGGATATAAGCATTCCCTACAGAAAGCAAGATGATTAGGCTTCCTTATATCTGATTAAAATTCTAACAATAAGATATACAGTGAGTATTCAAGCAGATCTTCCAAATCTAAAATTCTGCAAGCTCACACACCTTTTATTCCACCGGTCTGTGGCACTATGTCGGTTATGAGAATTGCTGGGCATACCTGGTAACTTGCAATGTCAGGGCACAGAATGACAGGCTATGAGAAGCAGGGCCTGATCCTGTTAATTTTGAAGCCAGGAATGTATCTACCGAGATTAATGCCGCAGGATCAACGCAACAATGTTTAATGATGCAAATGATTTGAAAAAGAAATGAAAAGGGGAAACAAAGAAATAAAGAAACCTTTCTTGGCAGTAAGAAAAATTGTATAGAAGGGAGTTTGAAAGAACTACAGAAGAAAAATTATGTGCCTGAGAAGACGTTATGCTCTTGTATATAAATTAGGATAACATAGTTTGATAATGATATTCAATATGTGTTGGCAGTTCCATTTAAGGGGTTTCTTTGGACAGGTTTAATTTAATGGTCAGGCTTTCATCCTTAACAGGTGCCTACAAGCTAAAATACTGCAGATAATGCCAAATGCAGAAAGAAAAAAAAATAAAATCAAGTCTCTGATTAATACTAAGTGCCAATTCTGCTTAATTTTGCCACAGTAGGAAGCTTCAGTGGCGGCACGTACTCTGCCTTGTAAGAGAGCCCTCAGTGGTGCCAGCTGGGGCGGCTGTTGCGCGGTCCCTGGACACACGGCTTGCCTGCAGGGACCCCAGCTTGGCACGGGACCGTACGGGGGCTTCCCCTGGAGATACAGAACAGACCCCAGATGCACTCAACGGCTTGAGAGCCCACTCGAGGGCACACTTACCTGGTGCGTGAATGAATGGGCTTTGGCACTTGATGCACAGTCCAGACATACCCATCTATCTGAGTCCAGCAGCAGTGACATCGTCTGCCTGAAACTGGGCAGAAAAGGGTCCTAAAGGCCTTCCTAGAAGGCTACCAAGGATAATATCGATGTCAAATGCAGGCTGCAAGGACACCTGGACTCTGCAGTGCTTATGGGAGAAGCTGGGGTGCACTGAGGACACAGCTACTGAAACCAGTGGTATTAGTGACAACAGCAAAGGGTCTGAGGAAATTAGATCTGATTTTGTGTTTTTTTAACTCGAATCAATAGTAGGGGCTTCCAGCATCTTTTGAGATAGCAACAAAGTGTTTTCCAAAGAAAAGCAAATGTATGTCACCTTCATAATCACTGGGAATAAAGTCCACAAAACCATAATGACTATCTAGTTTATATTTACAACTAATCAGAGTAGGTATTATTACTAACAAGTAATGCTATCAAAATCTTTGATATCTTAAAGTAATTTTAAGCCTCCAAGAGTTTCACCTTTGAATAGCCCTAACAAGAGAGTAAAAAGTGTTACACCTTTTTATTTTCATATATTATATATATGTAATATATGTAAATAAAAATTATTTGGGAGATTGTAGTATTCCTTACACATCCCATTATGTGCAGCTACCATCACAATGAGCACATTATATACACACACTTCTCCATCTCAAGTTCATGAAAAAAATCTCCTTGCAAGACTTCATGGACATACCACATCTCAGAACTGCTCCTCGTATGTAAGTGGCTCTTCTATATGTGAAGTCCTAGGAGTGGACTTAGCTTTTGGTCTGTGGCATGAATTTTTGTTCAGCCACTTTGTGCCCGCATTGCTGATCATCAACCTTTTGATCATTACACAACTGAAAACTTTTTTGTGTTCTTGGGGGGGCTGGAAATCATTAGGAACTAAATGTACCATAATCTTGGTTTTAGAGCTTTGCCTGAAGAGACAAGGGATTGCTTCCAGAAGTATTTCCTTTAACACCATATGCCTTTTCTCCATTCTGTCCCCAGCTTCCATGTCTAATAGGCTGACCTCCTTATAAAATGGCCCAGACCTTTGTTCCTCTTCTGTTCGTGGCAGAAGGTAAGACCCTCGCAAGGCTAGTAGTCATAAAAAGTTTACTCCACCATTTTGGCTCAAAAAAAAAAAAAAAAAGACCGTTTACTGGAAAGTTTTGGGGGAATTCATTTTGGTAGATGTGGTGAAAAATACACACCCAAGTAGCAGGGTGATTGTATTTTCTGAATGCACTTGGGAAATACTGTTTATCGTTAGGACCATGGATTGTTACAATTCGGTTAAGAATCACTGAAAATGGGAAACATAATAGTAAATTGTTAGAAAAGGTTTCGGTGATAAGGACTCTACTGTATTTCCACTAACTACCACCCCTAGAGAAGATCATGCTAAATAGAAAACTCATTTCCAAGGGCAGAAGAACCCCTGACACTTTATTGCTAGATTCTATACCAATTGGAGCTCACTTACAGTAACCTTATAGTACTCTATATAAACTGAGAAGCTTGTATCAAATTCAGGCTTCCATTTAAAATAGATATTGCAGATTTTAGGCTTCAATTAAAGAAGAAAAATAAACTTCAGTGCTTCTTTTTTTAGAGGCAAAGTATAAAAAAAAAATCACCAAACTAGGTGAAAATTATTAAATTTCTCCAAAAAATTAAGATGAGCTTTCTTCTATTTCTTGAGACAGTATAGTTTGTGATTCCTAGGGTAACTGGTATCAAACACAAGTTAATGAAAGCTCTTATAAGCAATTTTATTCCTATCCATAATGGCAGACATTTACAAAATCAGAAGAATTTATCATTTGAGTTCACCTTAAAAAATAACTTATAAAGCAGTGATATAAGCAACATAAAACAGTTCAGGAGGGGAGAGGGAAAGCAAATTTTAATAATTAAAATGTAAACGTGAAGAAAAAAAAAAAAAGATGGAATAAAACTCCCTACTTCTCATTTCTACTTAAGATGTCATGGGATAATATTTTACAATGTCCTGTGGTTCTATATATGTATGTGTGTATTTCTATATCACACACACATACATATACATTAACCCACACATGTACATACACAGATAATTGTTTGCAGTTCCATCTTGGGCAGTTCTGTTACGCCACTCTTTACAGTTGTCTCAATCATGTTTGGGACCCACTTTCTTGACAAAACGGGGGAGATGGTAGAAAAAAAAATGGTGGGTCTGATTGTGTCTGAGATCCTTTTGTTAAACTGTACACTGGGACGAATAATTTTCTTCTGCAGTAGCTCTCTGAAGAGGGCCAACTCACTGTGGTCTTCATGACGAGACTTGTTAACGGATCACACACTCATTGTCATGCTAGGGGAGTACTGAAAAAAGAGGAATCCACATTTTAACAACCATTTTTTCCCCCCCAGGTAACGAAAATGACTTCTGGACCACAGCGATGAGTTCAAATGTCAACACGCTCTTTGAACTTCCTCCTACATTTGTACTGTAGCCTGTGCTAAGGCTGTAGTTCAATCTGTGGTATCATAACTTCTGTTACACTTTTCTCATTATGCAAAAACACAGCTATTGCTGATAAAGCCAACTCCCTTGAAGACTGTTTTGGTGTTAGTGGTGTGATAAACCAATACTTCACTGATGCTTTCCACACCTTTTCCTTGTCAATGTTGGCTGCTGGGGGGAATTTAGCTAGGTGGGTGGCTAGCCTCAAGTAGACCAACTGCATTCATGGTTAGCTGAACCACATCAATATTTTGGAGAGCTTTTTACTACTTTATGGGAAGAAAGGAGTAAAGATATGTATGACTGGAATTAAACAAGGCTTTTGGTCTGTATTATCCTGTATTATCAATTTTAGAAGGCAAGCTGAATCAAGGATCAGTGGTCATTCTCCTTTATGTGAACCAAAAATTCAGTTGCCACATTACATTATTATTGTAACACAAATTGAACTGCAGCCCTTATGCAAGCTATAGTTGCCCTGAAGTTAGCAGTACTTCATTACAGTCATCAATGGGATGCCACAATGCCTAGAAGTGCACATCTCTATACCTAATTTGGTTTTAAATTTAAAATTGCAGACTGCAGAAACACTTAATTGGGCCTAAAATCTTATAAGTAGAGGAAAATGTTCAAATGCAAGAAGTATTACCATTATGAAAATGGATATAAGAAACAGAAAGATAAATTTGCCTTTGCAAAAAACAGATAGGCAACAAAAATCCTGCCAAAGCTAGCATTTCAAGCTGGCCATTTCTAAGTATCGAAGCATATTAGAAAAAGCACTTTGGATGGGTCTTCCCTGTCATGTAAACTACATAGAATGGACTACTTGGGTAAAGTCCATTTTGTCTCTTGTCACGTCTCTGATGGTTTGTCTGCTTTAGGGCTTACTCCCATCATATCCTGCCAAGCACTCCCACAGTGGGCCAGAAAAGCTGGTAAGAACAAGCTTGTCTTTAGCCAAAGTCAGAGATCAGCTCAAATGCTTAAAGCAAGGCATCTGTTCAAGTGATTTCCTGTATCTGTACCTGGGTAATCACTTTGGACAAGGAATCAAAAGATGATCTAAATATGTTTGTGATTTTTAACTTATTATTAGCCAAGAACTGTTCCCCATGCCCAACGAAAACTGGTGAACTGAACAGCAAGTCTGCCTGAGAAAGGACCTCATAATAATGCCTACTCCAGTTAGCCAAGTAACGAAATACAAATCAGAAAGCAAGACAGTTACCAGGGACCTACAATGTGACTTATGTTAGGGAGGAACTGATACCTAGAAGTAGAATAGAATGAACATGGCATGTATAATGCATGCCTTGTAGGCATACATCTCATCTAAAACCTTGAGAAAACTGGGTCCCAGGTTCTTCCAGGTAGGAAAACAACATCTAAGAGCACCTAGAATCCCATAAGGGTCTGAGAAAAATGATTTTCTTTTCAGTACAACTGATGTCCTTCTTTTCATGACCTTAGTTCAGTGAACTGGCCTGGCTGCTGATCATACTGCCTGCCCTCAGAACCAGCAACGTATGCCAAACTGAGAGTCGAGGATTACCATGACCAAGGATCACATTTAATGGAGGTTCTGTGGTTACTGTTTTTTTGACAGATATTTAAACACCAGTATTTTTGGGTTGTACAAACCAATTTTCTCCAATACTCCACACAAGCTGAACATGTGCCCTCGTTATGAAGACATGAAAAGGTAACATGCAGAAACTTCCTTTTTACTACTTAAAGAAGCAAACCCCCAAAAACCCCAAATCTGATTCCCGTGAAATTTGTCATGCAATTCAACTGTTTTGTGATCTAACAGAAACTGTTTACTCATCATAATTTCTAAGATGAAGTTCACCACTGGCATAGTTAATGAAGTTGCACTCACTTCTGGCAGCAGTGATTTCCAATAAGAATAGAAGTGTTGAAGTCACTCAGCACTTCTGAAAAATCAGGCCACTCCTATTTAGGAACCTAAATGTGGATTTAGAAACCCAGCTTCAGGCACATGAGTATGAAAATACTGCAGTCTTGCTTTGTAATGTATTTTACACCACGTTTTGCTGCCTCAAGCATTCTCCATTTTAAAAAAGCATCATTTGTCCCAGAACGAACACTAGAGGGAACCTTTGCTTTTTCTGGCTCTAATAGCACACTGCATCTTTGCAACGAGATCTACGGGTGCTCTAATTAGACACTTCAACCTGAATCCTGTTCTAAAAGACATTCCCTGCAAAACACATTGTTTAGGAGTCAAAGGTTGGGCAACCACACATTGAAACACTCAGATGTAAGGATCTGTCAACTATGTGTACTTAAACTGCTTGGATATTGCCTGACAAATGCCCGTTGTGCATTACTGAATACATGAGGTGTAATTATTACTGCTTGACAGATCTAACTTTCATTGACAACTGACCTCTTAATCTAGAGTTTCTGCAGTAAATCTACACCTCCCACATTTTCCAGTTTCAGCTCAACTTCTAGCAGTCTTTTAAACAATTTTTTGTCAAATCAATACCATAATTTTAGAAGCTAGTAAAAAACATGTAAGGCACAGTACTGCGAAACTGTTTCTTCTTGCTGTTAATTTTCTTTTTTTAAGGAAAATGACAGAGATAAAGGTTCACAAAGTAAAAAACCCAACAATCCCCCTCCCCCCCAAAACAAAAAACAATGCCTAGGTAAAGAAATACTTACGCTCTCGCTCTGAAAAGGGTTTAAGAAGTTTCCACCCATCTCACTGTCATCCCTGGGAGTGCCAGGCTGATTACTCATGCTCATATTACTCGGAGAGTTCTGTTAAATAAGATTTAAAAATACATATTAAGTTTTGAAGATTTCAGTTCATTTCCCAGCTTCACCAAGTGTGCCAGAGACACGCTCTACATGATACTGTAGTGCACTCAGATGCACTGTACCATGCACTGGGATTTTCAAAGATGAAAAAATAAGCCTCTCTAGGGTTCTGCATGATTCAGTCACTAATTTTAGCCTGTAAAGTAATGTTTTCTTCCCTGAACCAAGAATTATTTACCTGTAATTCTTGTTTTCATATTATGGCCAGCATCTTCCCCTACTGAAGTCAGGAAATGCTATAAATGGCTGCAGCAGGTATACAAGGTAGCTCTGTCATTACATTATATCATGTGGTCAAATTCAGTGAAGTCTATGAGCGTGTGCCTTGACATACATGACTTATGAATACGTACTTAAAGCTAGAAATATGGATGGATCTGGTCTACACAGACCTTTGCAAAGGGTTGTGCCTGCAGTCTTAGTTCATAGCGTTCACAGTTTATTGAAATACAGTTTCACAAGTAGTTCACAAGTGTGGTTCAAGTGCTAAACCACTACACTGAGCACAGCTAATAGACAGCATTTATAGATAAAAGAGTTAACAAGAGTGCTAGATAAAAGACTCCTGAGTAACAGCTAACCACTGAACTGTGCTCACAAACACTTTCAGAAGGAGCTGTACTTTTGCTATTTGCTTGCATAGAGAATAATGCAACAGCATTTTAATCTACCCTTCCAGTGTCTAGGTGTGACTGAAATGCTAATATATAATAACAATATAAAGGCTTGTGAAGATAAATTCATTTTTTTAACATAAGTGCACAACCACCTCTGCAATGTTCAGAAAATGCTTTCAAGATTCAGTTACTTAAAGAAAGGGTGAAACAAGGTAATTGTCACAGAAACTCTTCTGAGTCAATAGCTAATACATGATCATTGTAGACACTACAATTAGTTATGTGTTTTTACAAAGTTGATTTGTGGTACCCTACCATGCCTGCAGCACAGGCATTTCTCTTTCCATCACTGTGAAGACTCCTACTTATAGATGATTTGAGATGGAAAAGCAGTATTCAGGGAAAGGGGGGAGTGAAGTCATGGACTTCATTATGAAACATTTACGTCCATCACAGTTCTCCCCTTGATTTTTTTTGATTCAGAAAAACTGAACGCAATATTGCTGTTGAGATTTTACTTATACAAATGCAAATCTGGTATGTCACAATAAATTGAAACACAAACCTAGAGCAGTCAATGGGTAAGCTAACAAAACACAACTTCAAATAGTGATCTTGATCAAAGTGACCAACTTATAATGGATGTAAGAATCCTAACTGAATTTGTCCTCTTTTTCTTATGTTATTTTCAGTTACAATCCTGACGCAGTCTGTCTGTTAGCAGAGAGGTTTTTTTCTTTAAAAAACCCAGGTATTTTGCACTTTGAAAATACCTGCATGCAGTCTTCATGTAGTATAACTAGATCTGCAGATTCAAACTTTGAATGATCGGAAACATTAAAGAAAGAGAAAGTCCCCTTAATTTCTTGTCACTTTCCTCAGAACTACAAAGGCTATCTATCCTACCCTGGCACTTTAAAGATGTACACTGCAGTGTTCCTAGAACAGAAGATGGGATGGGATAGCCATGACTTCTACTTCCCTGTCATACCGTATTTCTGCATGGTCCTCTTTGTAATCATGAAGTCCCATGTTGACCCCTGTCCATAATTTAAATATTGCAACACATTCCACTGTTCCACAGATTTACTTCACCTCCAAGGAGAACAAAAAATGTTGTCCTCAGCTTCACCAAATACCACAACTTAAATCAGTTACTTTTTGCTACTGTGTTAGCAGGCTGGTAGGCCTGACTGCTATATATACTGTCCGCTTTGTAATGTATTTTCTATGGTCAGTGAAAGGCTGCTGTTAAGTTTTCACCACATTCCCCTGACAGAAGATCACCATTCTCAGTCTGAATGGCCAAGTATGTATATGGGTCCAGCTCCGTATATTTATTTTTAGTTACAGATTAAGTATAAAATTAATTACATAAGCAACATGCAAGCATAACTTTTTTACTAGCATCTGAAATGCAGCTTACAGAGTTGGGTCAAAACCCCTGCCTTAGCCCTTTTGCTTACCTCAGTCTGGTTCACTGCTTCTGACACTGTGACCCCCAGATCTCCAGGAATCACAGGACAATACGTCCATCAAAGACTACTAAAAGCCTAACTAGTTGATTAACATCAGACAATTAAGTTTGCTATTCAGTGAAATTAGGACAGCAAATATTTAGGGATCCACAGCTTGAAAAAGGTTGAAAATGATTGCTTCAGTTCAACTACAGCTACTGGACCTTAAGCAGGAAATAATTCAGGGAAGTCCTGTTGCCTGTGTTATGCAGGAGGTCATACTACACAATCCTATCAGTCCCTTCTGGACTTAAAATCTATGAATATGAAGTTTAAAACCCACTAAGGCCTTGTCACATTTATTTTATATCATGCTCCTGCACTTTTGTTCATTCCTGGGGGATTTACCCCTATTTTATCTTGCTCTGTGTAGCGCAAAGCTTTGAAATTCTGCAATTGCTACAGTACACCAGCCCCAAAGGTTCAAATTCCTGACATAAACACTTTTACAGCAACTCTCCTGGGCTGCTTTTATGGCCAGTATGGGGTCTCGCATTGTAGCACTAGCTGATTTTTTCCAAAGCAAGTATGTGTTTGATGCCTGCACAAATTCCATGGGCACTGCAAGAAACACTGGTTATTAATGTTTATTTAATATGCATAATTTCAGTTCATTTACTTCCCCATCTCAATTTACTTCATAAAAACTTCATGTTTTGCCATTCAGCCAATTAAATTAGAATCTTCTCTAGAAAATGTAGCTCTGAATTCTGTGAGCTGTACTGATTCTACCAAGACTGGATTAAAATTCTACATCTCCTGTGAATTGATAATCAGCTCCTCTAAAATGCATTTTGCTCCCCTGAAGTCCTGTGCCTGGACTTGAGCATCACACACCCCAAACTGTGCTAACTTCAGTAAATAATTTCCGTCACTGGAAGTCTACTTGTGAAAAAGCCAACTGCAAGACAGGCTGGTGATGTATGCAGGGAGACTGTTGCCTCAGGAGGAACAATCCTGGTAACTGTAAAAATTGGAAGGCAGCCACATAATAATTTTGCATGCATCAACCCCAGAAATCTACTATTTCTTGCAAGCAGAACTTTTCCATTCAAGTTTCAAAAGCATCGTGTACTACTACCTACCCAAAATTACCAATGCTACCCACACACTTTTACTACTGTCAATGAAGGCTGCATATTGGGCAGTGCTACTCAGAAAAAGACAGAATGGTGTAACAGGACAACTCTGTTACTTCCAAAGTTAGCGGCATTTTTCATTTAGTTATTTGAAAAAGACATGCATCAAATGTGATTTCCATGAGTTATTCGTCAAAGTTAACAAATTACAAGACTTCCAGGTAAATTTTTGGACCCAGGTTTTCAGAGCTCCTGATACTACTTGTATTAGCACATATACGGATACTAATACCAGTGAGTTGAATACAGGCTTTTAAAAATAATCCCGTGGCAAGCTAATGGAAATGATTTGGGTTTTTTCCTTAAGAAATGCTGCCATTTACAATAAAAATACTGAAGAAAAAATATGGACATGGATTTAAAAAGTGCTGTACCCTTATTATCTCACTGCAGGCTTTTATTGAATCCATCACTGCACATCTAAGCACAGTACAACTAAGGGAACATGGTCATTTCAATCCATCATTTTACCCTTTGCAGTGCCTGAAAATGTTATAGATCTTAAAATTGTACAAAAATATAGGACTGCTATATACACTGCCCCCTCACAGGACCAGCAATGGCCTTGGACACATATTGCTGAGGTCCTTCCCTCCAGGAAAGATACGCTAAGCTTTACAGGCTGCTACCCCTCTCCTATACCGCACCACCAGAAGACCACGAACTGGGAAACTGTACAGGGTCGTCCTCCTCCTCTTTGGAACATACAAATATGTATCACTAAGTGAAGAATGATTCCTGCCTTTTGAACACCTGGAAGTGTACTCTCAACAAATTCACACTACAAATGTCTGTGTTAACCTATGGGAATTTAGGTGAGCATTTTGTTCCCTACGTGTTGGTATCTCATCACAGCTCCTGAGAACAGACCTACAGGGTCCCTGGCCTGACGGGAGCACACGCAGACCAGCCTTAGATTTGAAATGGCAAAGGCTGCCCTGGAAGAGGTCTAGTGGCAGCACCGCGGTACTCTGTCCTGGGGCACCCAAAATACACCGGCAGCTGAGATGCTCAAAACAAACTCATACTCCTTTCTTGGAAGGTATGTTAAGAATTTTGCTACAAATTAATGAGTTATAAAATTTTAACTGAAACAATCTCTTCACCACTTTCTGTATTTATAGATCAAAAGTATGAAAGTGCAGAGAGATTGTTGTAGTCATACATTTATTAGTTTCAGTCAGTTACATCTGAAGATGCTGAGTGCAAAAAAATAGTGTTTTGCAGGGGACAGATTTATGCCACTTTATCAATACCAAATAAGCTCATTAATTCCTAAATTAACGATGATCACGTATGTAGTAGTTTTATTTTTCTGGAAGAAGTGACACATTCAAGCACAATATTATTTTCATGGATGCAAAACCCCTGCAGGTTAAACTTGCATTCACTTCCAACTATTTAATGGTTGTGATATCAAAATAGTGCTTCTTCTGAAACTTCTTCTTAATCTAGCTTTTAGGAACTTCTACTAATGATTAAGATATTAACATTGCCTTATAGAGGTGACAAAAGCAATCATGCAGTGCATAAACGTAACATCCTAATGACATTTTTCCAAATTTACATTTAACTAGGATTCATCATTAGAACTATATTCATTTGTCTTAACAGTATGGAAGATTATAACATGATCAATCAGATTACGAACTGGATATAATTAATCACATTCATTAATACATACTATTATGCAGTAGGGAATAAGTCTACTTATACTCCCTATTGATTACATTGTTTTAAAATTTTCAATTTTTACTAATGCTGTCTGCACAGCCTCCAAAGAGTTCACAAACAGAAAGTGTAGATACATAACAAAAACATTTGTAACAGAGACAAAAAAAAATACTTTTAGAGTGAAACAGTCTAAAAATTCCAAGTATTTGATTAGATACTCACTTTGGAAATACTGTCCATGTCTCCTGAGCCTTAAATTAAAACAGACAATTATTCAGTTAGTTTTGAGATGAAGTTAATCTAAGATTTTTTTCATAGTAAATATATAGTGTAACAGCAATATTTTAAAACATAACCAAGCACGCATCATCTCACTTCCATCCCAATGCCTCTCTTAGTAAAAGTTTACAGTCACTATTGAATAATGTTAGTCCTTTCTCTGTGTACACGCCCAGTGCAAAAAAAAGAGAAAAGAATGCAGGACACACTTCTGATCTGTATTGGTTATTTGGACGGCATCCTATCAGGACGAGACAGCCCAGCACAACTCAAGAAACTGTATGTCCAACCTCCCTGTCCTCTTAGCCAGGGTACAGGTAACACAATTAATTTGGGGTATATCCACCTATGGGAAATGTTGCTTCAGCTTGAGAAAAAAAAAAGCAAAATCATGGCTAACTAGTAAAAGTTAATATTCCTGTGGAAAAAAAAAAAAAGACTACTCTTATCAGTAAGGTCAGCTGGGAGGGTTTCACCAATGTCTTTGCTCCCAGAAGCAGAAGCCTACTACTGAAATTGGCTGAAATGACATCAACATCTGATGCATTACAAATACTGATGACAGAATCTTTCGGAAGAAAGCAGATAATCCTGAAGACCAGGGTAACAGAAACCAAATAAATATAATGAGTGCAAGACTATTGAAAAGCATTTTTTTCACCTGCTGTAGCTCTCACTCAGGTAAAGCCAAGAGTACAGGAAATACAACTTTAGGATTGATGTAACAAGAAAAGCATTTTTAGCAGAAACGCACAGTAAACAATTCTGATCACCTATTTTCAGGAAAGACAAATTCTAGAAAAGTACTGAATACAAAACTAGAAGAATATCTGAGAAAAACAATCAAGAAAATGGAGTTGTGGGAGGAGACTGAAATAGCTTACTATACTTAGCCAGGCAAATTAAGGCTGAGAAGGAATATGATTTGTCTCTATAAATATATCAGATACATAAATGTTATGAAGAGTTATTTTGTCATGGCCTAAAGGATAAATTTGGTGGAAATCAGGAAAAGATTTCTTCCTAACCATCAGAGCTATTAACAGATATCCAATAGAAGGGTTGTGTTCAAAGAAGTTGGAGAAGTTCAAGATGGACCTTGACCAATTTATCCATCTGATTATGAGACACAGCTGCCTACTGCAGCATGGAAATGAATGCAGCAGATCTCTCCCAGTAATCCTCTCCTTAAAGAACTCAAGTTCCGGTTTAGATATGAAGTTACCCCCATAAAGCAGTCATCATTAATTTGACTAAGCACTTCATCACTTTCGCTAGAGAAAATAACTAACCAAATGCTAGGTACACTTAAAATAATTCCATAACTGTTTCAATTTAATTTTTTCTTTTAGCTAAGAAATAATTCTCAGGCTATAGAAAGTGACAGAAAAAGATGTGATTACCTTTTACATAGTTTTTAATTTATTTGAATGTAATGTGCATCATTATCAATTAAAGCAACAATTCATTTTAGGATTGTACTATGTAAAGAAAGGCTGTAAAATCACAAGGTGTCCTTATGCAAAGTAATCTAGGAATTTCAGGGACATGCTTTCCTAGAAAAAAAGATAATTCTATTAGGAGATAGACGCCTAGTGCTGAATTTTAATTGTTTAGAACATGTCTGTTAAATGAGGTTTGATGGCTTAGTTTTTTTCTCATCTTGTCATAGCCTCTTCGAATTTATCCCTTCTTCTTTTGTGTTTATACCTCCTTTCTCACAACCTCCAACTTTTGGGCTACAAGTGACAGATCTCTACCCACCACGGCAGTATGGACTTAAATAGTATGGAGTTGAGGTTGGTCCATGCCTGTGCTGGGAAGGCGACGGACCTTTTCTTTGGGGATGGAAGCAAGGTGCACTCTGGCAGCTTGGCTTCTGCTTGCCTGACCTGTATCTAGCTTGCTTGGGTTTCTCCCCATAAAAGAAAACACTGCTCAGAAGGGTGTTGCTGGTGCCTCTTGTGGGCATTGAGCCAGCTCCCAGATGTGAAACAGAACATTGCTGGGGGACCAGGGCGATAGAAAAAGAAAGAGATTTCAAGTCTTTGCAGCCTGAGGTTCGCCCTTGTTGTTGCCTGCATGACTGGTGCAGACAGAAGTGAAGAGTACAACACAAGAATGGTATTCAGAGCTACTGGCCTGGTGTTAGGGTATGAGCAGAAATAAAAACAAGGTATTTGTTTACCTTGTGGGTATGGAAAAGGAAGGCATAAATGCAATTTATTCAGCTGTGGCTTGTTTCTTAAATTTCTTTCAAGTGTCTATCATGCTTCCAGCAAAGAGTAAGAGCAAAGAGTTTGGTAGGATAGTCAGGAGATAAAGCAGTGTGCATTTTGCAGAGTTGTGCAAGGCTTCTCCCCTAGGTACGAGTCCTTCAAAAAGCCTAGTGTCAAAAGCCAAGCAGTACACTGTTCCTACTGCCTTTGCATGCCCTGACAAGAATTCATGTTCTTCTGGGTGCATTAAAATTGGCACCTGTCTGAAGCTGCTAATGGGGATGGAGTAATAATACTCACTTAACAGGCATACAGCTAGACTATAGAACAAATGAGGATATCAAAATGCTGGGATAAACCCAGCTTAACACAAACATCAAAATATGTAATAACTTACTTCCAGGTAATTGATAAGAACGTGCACCAGCATGTCACAATGACATCTACCCAAGATTTTCAAATAGGAAGAGAGGTAAATAAAAATGGTTCTTAAGCCTTCACCTCTATGTCACTGGGATGGTATGCTTTTAGACTGGTTTGCATCAACTGGATTAAAACTATACTCTCTTATATAAATAAAATACAGTATTTTTCTTCCAGAGGTGCATGATGTATGCCAACCCATATACTTTAAAAGTATCTTAGTACTTATTATTGATGTATTTGCAGCTTTTTCAGTTTTTAAAATATTTTTACATACAGTCTTCCACATAACTCAGAGAACTAGTCATAGAAAATGGCACTAGTAATTGAAAATTCACAATATTTACTATCATTACCTAATGATCCATTCATATGATGTGAATCCATTCCACCCAGTCCACTCATAGGTCCGTCTGACCCTGGCCCCATTGGAAACTACAAAAGGATCAGACATTAAAAATTGCTATTACTGTACAATTTTTTTTAGATAGTCTAATAAAAAGACAATATTCCTCAGGAAAAAAAAAAAGAAAAAAAAAAGTAAAGGCAAAATGCACAGTCCCAGCTCTGAATGCGCAAGTCAAGTGAAAGTCTTTCATGTGAAGACTGCAAAAACATCATTGCTTTTGTTCACTTTTTCCAATGCTACTTTAACGATTTTTGCAACCTCTCACCTCTGTAGGCTGCAATGTAACTTAGGAATAACTTACTATATACTTCAACACTTTGTGTATGACTTTCAAACCTGCTAGTGCTGACCTAACTCTACTCCCATTGAAGTTACAGGGAACTTCGTGATTCTCGTCAATGAGTAAGTGATTAATTAACAGCTTTCAAACCCCACCTTATCCCTACTGACAGTTGGACTACTCACTCCATTTGCAGCATGAGCAGTTTCTGTCAAATTTCAGATATGGACCTTAAATATAGTTCTTCAAAAACTTGAAGACATTAACATTACAGAAAAATTTCTAAAATTCACTGCATAATAATTCAGCAATATCTAAGTATCTATATTTTTAAGTTCTACTGGTCGTTTTTTCAAATGGCCCCTAATATGGATTGTGATTAAATGGAATATCATTGTAATCAGAGAAATACAATAAAACTGAAGGCATAGAGAAAGATCAGAGAAAAAACAAGCTCTATGTAAGAATCCGGATTTCTGTCAGCTCTAGAACTGCTGAAATTTAGGCTAAAATAGTCACAAATTAACTAGTTCATTATGCAAATACTTGAATGTTATCAATAGGTTTCATTCTTAACATCCCATTTAGTTAAACAGGGAAGTTTGTTTCTTCTCAGAGGCATTCATTTTATCCTTTTTTTATAGAACAGCAGGGCAACATAATACTGGGTCACTTCCAGCAATTTTCTCTTCCCTTTTCAAGGGTAGATTTTTTTTTATAATGAAAGTTTGAATCCTGAAGGAACTAATGCTTAGTGGCAGCTCCTAGGATGGCATCCTATCATGCAGAAGTCTATTGTACCGCAGTGTGACAAACTAAGTCATCCCCAAGATCCACAGGCAGAAGCTTCTAAGGTCTTTCCATGCAGAAGAATATGCTCCAATCATTATTTTGCATGTATTGGTGTGACTGATTTGGAAAACATTAAAAAGTACATGGTGGGGGGGAAGCAACTGAAGTGTCACTCATAAAAATGGAAAACTTAGTATTAATGATAAGTGATGGAAACATAGTTTTTGGATAAAAAAAGGCTGTATAATTCAAGGAAGTATATAACTAGATTCATATTTACATTAGGTCTGTTGGGTCCAGGTGGTACTGCATTCATTAAAGTGTACATGTTGTCTCCAGAGTTGGTTGAATCTGTAATAAGAGATTATTTTAAGCGCTAATATATACCTTTCAATAAAACTACTCACCTAATACATTTCCTGTCATTTTGTTCCCATTATTTCTGTGCCTGAATCACTTATACACAGTGGCAATATAATGGAAGATTTCATTCCCTTTCTATCTATTGCTACCACACAACAGAGCTATGAAAAGAAATAATTGCAACAGTCCCTAAGTGACTACTTCTAGAGTCTAGTTTTACGCATGACTGTTAAAAGGTTTATAAATCACCAAGTATCTGTAACTATTTAATTCCATAAAACCTTTTTCCTGGAGTTCCAAATTACTTCACTCATCTTCAAAACAGGAGATTCTTTCTTATCAATACTTCCTGTAATTTGTTTTCCATCTGTAATAAATGATAAATAGCTTCTCATTATACTGACTGCAAGTTAGTGTAGCACGTGAAAATTTTTTATTCTCATCCATGTCAGTCTATTTGATTTTGAATATATCTAACTATTCAGTGGAACACTGTGCAAAGATCCTCACTGAAAGGACAGCTTTAGCTGATGTATCTTCATGGTACAGTGTGGTGCAATGCTTCAAAAAACCTGAGACCAAACCCAACAAAACCATCCCGGCACAGTGTAGTGCTTAAGCTAGTAACTTCTGCGAAGAGTTTCATCTGGCCTTGCCAGACGTTGACACAGCTATATTGCATCTCAGTCCTTTTCCCACAATCAAGGCACATGAACGTTCAGGTGGAGCACATCCAGAGTTGAAATGCAGGAATCAACCCAGATAACTCTTCTGGTTGAACTTAAGAAACCAATGCCTAAGAACCATTAGTAGATACAAATTATTCATTCTGATCTCCAGCTTATCCCCACTGCTAACTCATGCGAAGTCATAACACCTTTCATCAGTATTTGTATGAAAGAGAAGGCAAAAAATGCAGCAGATATATGGTAGACAAATTAGGCAAAAAACCTTTCCCGAGGGAACTCGACAAGAGATTGGCCATGTAATGAAAAGGTTTACTGAGAAGAGAATGACCTAAGGCAAGTCTAAATACATCCCTAAGGGGACAGTATGATTAAAAAAAATATTGGCAACTCTGGAAAATCAGTACCTCTATAGTATCTGCAAGAAGAATAAAGAATAGCTTAGTACTCTGTGCCTAGATCCTCCAAAAGACCATTCCACCTCTTTGAACCAGAGTTTTGAGATTAACAACACACAGAAAAACCACTGCTGAGCTGTAACTCCGTTTCCAAGACAAGCTGATGGGGGAATTTTGAGTCAGAAGTAGTGAAAGTGAGAAAGCCGAGACCACTGAAATGTGTTGGAACTAGGAACGTGGCTTGACCTCCCACAAGAATGTATTTGTACATACACTGGCAAGTTAAAATCAAGGGTTTTATCTATTTCTTAATATTTCCAAGACAGTTTTCTAAACATTAATTCACCTCAGTGAGTAAGTAATTCCATGATATAGAGAGCACTATGTATCACTAGAACATTCAAATATGCTGTTTGAGGAAGAGGGGGAACAAAAAGCTTTTAGCCTTAAGATATGAAAGCAAAATTAGCATATAAAAAGTTATTTTTAACATTCAATGAGGAGGCAAAAAGTTCCTCAACCACCAGATCCTTTTGCAACACATCCCTGGCTCTCCCCATGTTCTGCTGACTCATGTGAAAATACATACGGGCTGGCTGGGCCATGGGAACCCTCGGAGCTGGTTTGTCTCAGAGGCAAGTAAATACCTTTGCAAAATTCTCAGGCGGCCAATTTCTAAGTGTTTTCATACTTTGGAAAACAGAGCCTCAAAACATCTTTGAGTCTCTAACTGAAAAGGAGAACAACTGTCAGCAGAAGCTTTATTTGAGCTGCACAAAGACAGCCTAACATGTGCTTTAAATGCAGTGCTGCCTATTTTTAAAAGTGCAGGCTGTCCATAAGTTTGTTTTATGTTAAAAGAGATTCTAACTTTTAAATGCCAGCTTGCACTAATTATCTTTTTCACTAATGATATGAACAAGGAAGCCCTACGCTTTATCTTAGGTTGCATTTTTTTAAAGCCCTGGGAGTGTAAAGAAGATACTATATTGGTGAAAGAAGTTTTCATGGCCAGTTAGGAAATGTCCCTAGCCTCTTGTGCTGTAGAGGACAGCAAGAACATGTAGGACGTAAGGACTGAGGACGCTGTAACATCACTGAGGTCAACAGGTCCCTCTTAGCTGGTGAAAGCAAGTTACAAAGGCAGACAGTGGCCAAAAGGAGTAGCTATTGAATATTGGGTTACACAAGATGTAATTAGTTTCATTTTAGCAGATATCTGATGATGTCCATGGGGGAGGACAGCATCCTCCACAGCCTGCAGTTCCACCTTCATATCAGAATCTTTGCGGAACATCAATGGAGGGAAATACACATCTAGCTGACCATCTTTAAGCCTTGAGAAGCTAGCTAGCCATCCCGAATCCTCCTCCTTGTTTCCTCAAACCTTAGTAGGAATGTGGCCAATCTACTGCATGGCCAAAATCTCCATATGGTCCGTGTTGCAAGATATGAACTTACTTAGGGAAACAATGGGGCAGTTGAAGTTCTGGGAACAGATCACTGGTAGGACATGACGATGGCTCCTCTGGAGCTTTATTCCTCCATGGCAAGACAGAGGAGAACAACCTGTCCAGAACGACCCTGCTGTCAGTCAGATAACATATCCACGCAATGTAGCACGTCACTCAAGAGCCACATGTTGGTCAGGTCTACCCATAGGATACTACAGGGAAGTTCTACCAGATTCAGAAATCTCCTGACTTCCAAACTGGTGGAATTTTCCCAAAGAACACTTGCAAAAGCAAATGGAAGACTGTGTCTTCTTTTGTTTTTAACTTGCTATTGCTGAAATTGTGCAAGAAAAGATGGGCTCAAAAGCCAGAGAAATGAATTGCTCTGAACTGCAGAGATACAATGCTTTTTATCTCTGCAACACAGCAGGGAGAGGAAGAGAGTGAAAGTGCAGGAAAAAAACTGATAAAGTATAAACCCAATAATTTATCATTATCTGATTCTTTATAAAAATCAAAGTCTAAAAAATAATCTGTATACTTCCTAAATTGCCTTATAATTATCTTTTATTATGTCCAAGTATATTTCAGTACCTGCAGGACTAGGCATGATAGGTGTTCCTGGTGGCCCTCCACCTCCTGGAGGACCCTAGAAAAAGTAGAAAAGGTCAGTTAGCATGAAAGGAAGAAAATACCACAGTAAAACATGAACACAGTACAAATGAAAAAAAAAAAAAAAAAGTATTGTGAATGTCTATTCACATAGCTAGTGATAAGTTCATCACAGATTAAGACAAGGTAACTAGTGAGCAAGCTCTGGTACACACTTTTGATGTACGTGGGTATACAGACCCAAGAATATCCATTAGTCAATAACTCTGTGTCATGCTTTGAGTCAGACAAAAGAAATACTTGGAGCAGGGCTTAAGACAATTATATTTAATTCCCTCAGCCTACTTTTATTACCACTGTTTTTTCAGCTGGCATTTCTGTTTTGTTGTACTCTGTTCACAGTCAATGGTAGAGTAACCAAAGTTTACTAAGCACAAACCAAGGGGGTGTCCTATGGGGACAGAAAATCCTAATCACCTTAAGAAAGCTTTCTTTTTTAGGCAGACTTGGTATCTCGATGCCATAAGCATCTTAATTCTGTCCGTATAATATCCTACAATTTTTTAAAATAACATCTGTATACAAAATTTCTTCTCAAGTTAATGACGAATGGATGAAAAAAGTCAGGATAATGCTGGGTACACTTGCCTAGACTGCTAAATCAAAGATTAAAGAAAAAAACAACAAAAACCCCACAACTAAAAAAGCCCATCAAGGAACATTCATTTTCTTAGTTTCAGGTATTTCTGTGTTACAAATCTGTTTATGACTAAGAACTGCACACAAACTACTCTGGTTGTTAAACTGGCTTTTTAAGGCTCTTTAAGAATTTCTCAAAGAATTTTATTCTAAACATTCAAATAGTTTAGTAAGAACAGAACCATAACATCTTGCTTCCTGTGTTTGCAGATCCACTAATATTTCTAAGTAACATTAAAAACTACCAACTTCCAGTTTGGTAAAAATGTCTGTGTCGATAAATATTGACTTTCCATAATATAAAATACAGGGATTGCTAGCAACAGATTATTATTATTTTCGTTGCCATATGACTCACTATATTTTTATCTCTTTTGTTATATTTTAAAATAGCAGGTATACTGTTCCAGACAGGAATATTTTTTCAGTGGCACTGAATATGAAGGTTTGGTTGTTCCTGTCTGCTTACAAGGACATTGCTGACATTTGCTATAATTCACTGAGATTTTGGAAGGAGGCAGAGAAGCCTTGGGTTTAAAACAATAGACACTGTTTCTCAATGGCATACTTAAAATAACATTTCTTACAAAACATTTAGCAGTAATATACCAGCAAACACTATTTTCAGATGATCAAACTCAGTAACTTCTCAGCTTTCTGACTGATACCACTCCTCTGCAGGTTTGTACAAGTACCTGCAGAGGGAAGCATCTCTATCTGCCAGCCGGTGATCAACTCACCATTAATGGTAAATGAAACAGAAATCTTTTACTGAGAAGCAGCAGCACAGCCCTGCAGTCAGTCAACGTATACATAACTCTATGCCCTTATATGTAACCCCACCTACCTGTTCTTTATCTTGTGCTTCCCCTTGCTTGTGAACTAAGCAAAGTCAGCGAGTATCTTTTATAAAGTGTGCTGGAACAAACGCTTGCTCCACCATGAAACCCACATATCAGTTTATAAAAATCAAGGCATAATCACAACTTCATTTCACACTGCCAGCAGCCACATAGCTTTTTTCTCCTCCCAAATTACAATTGCATCAGAAATGAATGTGTTAGGATCGGGCTTGCCAAAACTGTCCGAAAGGCCTACTCAGCCCTCAGCAATGAGAAATTCCCACATTGCTGCTGCTGCAGAGCTACAGACTCCAAATTCAAAGGGACCATTGGATCACATATATGACCCTCTAGGCATCACAGGCTTTTTATGACTTTTTATCCACATACTTGTGCACTAAGCTCACTAACTTCAATGTTTTAGGTTTATATATATTTTTCAGCATCACACAAAGAGGTGTAGAAACCACTAAATGATCATTTATTAGAAAAGTTACTTACCTTCAATACTAAGTTTTGCATCTACTTTTAAATTTGCACTTACTCTCATTGTATGTTTTCTTCTCTTAAGAAAGCCTCTTGGTATCAACTACCTTCACTCTGAGAATATATTACTATGTAATGGAATTATTTCTCAAAAACTGTCTGATAAACTAACCAGATTAAGCTCTCAATGCCTGTAGTTCCAGATTACAAACCCCTTTGGCTAAAAAGCTGCTTTAAGAGCTCTCCAGCCCACACCTTGTCCCCAAACACATGCTCTCTTGGAAGCTACTGCCCCCCAGTTTTGCTTATTTAGCTGTTTGTATGGCTGGAGTTCATGCCTTCCTTTTCCAATATGTGGTGAGCCTTTCTGAATTAAGACTACTCTCAGCATCAGACAGGACATGCACTGTGCAAGCATTTATGCTGGCAGATTTCAACCCATGTCCCACCTCAGCCACTTCATCACTACCCTCTGCTAGCAGCAGCCTCAGCTCTGCTTGGAGCTCCCTCTGTGAGTGTCCTTCCACCTCTTTTGGGTCAGTTGAAGTGCTTCAGCAAGGACCTAGTTCTTTAATTGCTTCCATCAACTTCAGTTGTTTTGTATGAAGAGCGTCACTCATCCAAGGAACTCCAGTGGCAGACCTGAAGGAGTACTAACCTTCAGCAGAAGAGTGGGGACAAGGAATCAGGCAGCAACCTTTCTCACTAGCACAGCTGGAGTTCACAGAGCACATCTGACCAGAGGCTCAGGCATTTTCTCCAATACATCGATCTTTCATGTGTCTCATTCTTGCATCTCTGCACATCTTTTGATTTCCCTTCAATGTTGCCAGTTAGATGCAACATTCCAGCATCAGTCTCATCACTGTCACTGAAAGAGGTAAAATCACCTCTTTTCTCTTACTCCTCCTCTATCTATACATTGAAATATGGTGATGCCCTCTTTTGCTCAAGCCACTTATCCCGGCTGACCTTTGGCTTGATTGTTGGTTGATACCAACAGAGTCCGCTACTACAACCTGCACTTTACTTAGGTTTGCTTCTTTAAAATAATTTTCTATAGTATCTCCTTGTCTAGTTTCTCAGGACTTCATAGTTTTAAAAACCGAGAATATGAAGTCAAATATTCAAAAAAAATCTTCAAAATCTGCAACAATAACTCATCACTAGTGTTTAGGGCAAAAGCAACAAAACCTCTTCCCAACAGAGAGAAATTTATGAAGTTCTGCATTAAAACAACTGGTTTGGAGATCACCAGATTTGGACTGTTTCCAGTAAACATGTGGCAAAATGAGTACTACAGTTATAGACACTTATGAGAATCATAAACTTTTTCACAGCTAATCCTCTAAATATAGGACAAAAGAAACTGCCTTTGTCTAAACAAAACAAGCTCATCCTTGAACTCATCCTTCAGCTTTAGCTCTGCAGGATCATCTCTCTTACTAAGACTGAAAGTAAGAGAAACCTCTAAGCAGGACAAAGAGATGAAAAAACACCGTTATATTGTTCTCATGGCGAAAGACCTGCTATTTTCACATTCTGAAATAGCTTCAGGTTTTATGCTGGTTAAAGCCAATGCCCTGCAGTTTTCTAATCTTGAGGTGATAAAACATGAAATACCAAAAGAGAGGTCTACTGAAACCAGACCGACCAACAGAAATTTGGAATCCAACATATAATTCTCCCCTGTTATTCTGTCACACCAGTACTAAGCATGTGATAACAACAGATGAAATAATATGCTTTAGAAGAGTACATCAGAAGTACAAATAATCCAAGTACAACAGTAACAAGAACAATAAAAAGTCTAAAAGGATAAACAAAGTTAATCTCTTGGGATAGAGACACAAAAGAGCAGTATATACGCCAACAAAAACCAGTTTCTTGATAGGTAAAGTGTATTTGTTAAATTCCAGAGAGAAGGTTAGCATTTCAGGTTCTTTTGAATGACAGCTCAATGCTGGGCCTATTACAAAGTTTTAACTATTTTATTATAAAGTGCAGACTAAGAAAAAACAATGATACCAATTAATCCATAATAAATTAAGACAATGTCTGTGAAATGAAGACATAACAGACTATGGAGAAAAAAAGAATTTTCAAGTTTTCAGAAGGTAATTATACGAATAAAAATTTCCCTTAAAATGTTAGCTATAAGAACCCATTTGTGTATCTTTGGGGAGATAAAAGCTTGTTCTAACTCTTCAAATGCTTTTTTTTCTGAAGAAGTTCAGAAACTCATACTCAATATTGTGTTACTGAGAAAGCTGGGGGATTTTTGTCCTTTATTATTGAAGGCAATATATTGTATTGGTTATATAAATGTTTGCTGAAATAAAACAGCACTCAGGGCAATTTTGACCAGACTGATAATGATTCTAGTAATGACCATCAATAGACGCACCAGGCAGAAGAAAAACCCCTAAGTGCAGATCAGATGTACAGTTCTCAACCAATACACAAGGGTTCTTCCTAACATCTGGACAGCTATTTCTTTGCCTAAATAAAATGTAACATCTATTCTAATAAGCAAACATGCAGAAGTGTACTTACTACATAGTTCCCAGGAGACGCTGAAGAATAAGGTATCTGTAATATCAACAGAAACAAAATAATAATTTCTTCTGCAGTGAGATGGAGTCCATACATACATTTATGTACAGCTATAGGTTAATGCTTATTTGTTTAATTTATTTCAAAGACACAGTTAAGGATTACGGAAAAATACTATTGTTGTCAAAACAAACACCTCTTCTTTTCAACAACTTGTCATTGCAAGTATGTTCAAGTCCAAAACTAGCAATATAGACACAAACAAAATTTAATACCCAATATTTCAAATAAAGTATTTCCACTTAATATTACTGTGCCCTGGTAGCCACCCTAATGAAATTAATATGAATAATATAATTCACATATTTAAATGTCTGTAGGCTGAGGTCTGGTATCTGCTCTCCGTTGTTTCATAATAATTGAGGCATGCATTTTTAACAGCCAGAATCACTTTTTTAAGATACCAAGTTACAGGGTCTAGCACCAATCCAGTTCTTTCATCTACTACAAGAGTCTTCTTATTCTTATTGTGGGAGCTGCAGTAAAGTCTGTAAAGATCTGCAGTCTATAGTAAAAGGTTGAGCTATAAGATTATTAAGGTAATATGCTTTATAAGGTTTATAACCCTAAGGAGCACACACTTGCCTTTAAGTCAATAGGACTTCAGAGTCATCCCAAGCATGGACTGAATTTGTATGTTCTTATACATACTTAATCTTGATTAGAATCTTGACCACAAAAGGAAAGGCAACTCTTTTATATCTTTCATCCTAGAAGGTACTAATTTTATTTCTTTGCATTCTTCTTTTTTTTTTAAAAGGATGGTGTTCTATTTTCACTTCAAATTCAATTGTGGTAATTGTCACAGAGGATTTCTGGAGAAATCCAATCACCTGTGAATAATCTGGTTTTCTTCTTTATGATAGCCTTTGCAATTATTGTCTCTGAAGGAGCACAGACCAATGGTATTATAAGAGGATGGGATAAGAATTAAGCAACTGTACTGACAAAATACAAAATTATTTTGCAGGATAAGCATCTTACATGACTGTAGACAATTTGTCAGCCAACTCATTTTTATGAATACATCCATTAGTGGACTTCTCAATTTATTTCATAGAACGAATATATTTCAACTATCAGTTGAAAAATATCCTAACACCCATTTTAGTTGAGTACATGCAAAACAAAACTGAGGAAGAGTTTTAGCTCTTTTTTCCCCCCAATTGTCCTTGATAGAATTAAAAAAAATCAAAACTGAGAACAACAGAAAGAACTAGGCTAGTCTGTTAAGCCAGACCCATCTTGTTCAACTCTAAGTGCTAAAAAGGGATACATTTTTATACTAGTGGTGTATGACCACTGAATGAAAATGAAAACTTTACCTTTGTGTTCTGTAGAAATACCAGACACTGTTGTTCATGTGCGATGCCTCACTGACCTCCTCTTCCTTCAAGCTGCTATTAGACTACCTCATTTTGTAGCTGTTGCAATGAAATTCAATAGAGTGCACTGCTTTTTACAAAAAGCATATAAAAATGGCTGACGTCTTTCTTGCAAGCAACTGCTTTATGACTGCATATTCTATAGTTAGGAGCAGCAAATGGTGCTTTTGTTATGTAAAATATGTGAGCACACATTAAGCTGTATCTTAACAAGCTGTGATTTCTGTAGAGCTTGCTAGCCAGATAGTGTTGACCTAATTCATCTTATTGGCGCTAAAGGAAGCTAGAATTTACCATAAATATACCCCAGGATAACCTTTGTGTTATGGAAGTGCTGTAACTGATGTAAAGATGCAGAGCTGTTGTGTGATTATGAACAGAGCTGGATATTTGCAGGTCAAATTCAGATGTTCAGATGTGCTCCTCACTGTACCTGCTCTGCATTAGCATTACAGGGAAAAACATAAAGCATGCAGTATTCTATTCGTTGAATGAAGTAGATTTTTTTTTCCTACTGTATTGATGAGAAATACTTCCCTAAATATAAGATGATTTCTAATATATTTTAAATAATTACTTACAGAATTGGCATTGGTTGGGTTTGGCCAAGGTCTACCACCCCCAGGACCCCTGTAACAGAAGATGAAAGATGAGACACAGAACCACCTCTGTCTTCTGACCAGCTCTGAGGAAGCATATCAAAATAATCTGTTTCCAGAGTAAGGAAGGAGATGGCTTTTTTCAAATTAAAGTGTGTATAAACTATAACTAAACCAAGTTATAATGCTATAGCAAAATTTTCATCGTTGCACTACCATTACCATTTAATCAGTTTATGAGTTGATTAAAGATTATTTATTTATTATTACAACCTTGCCACTCACATTTAAGACACTTCAGTTCCTGACTCATTCTGGTACTTCTGTACTCTTCAGGACAGGATCTGCCAGAATAGCACCATAGAAGTCCTTCCCCAGTAGCCACGCTGTCAGAGGCTACAGTGGAGATGGCACAGTTCTGCATAGGTCCCAAACAGTTGCAAATTTATGAAGTGCCAGACATTCCCCTTTTAAATGGAAATGGAAAGATTTGAAAGACATTGCAAATTTGTGTCTCTTGAAGTGCTTTCCTTCTCTTCACAGAGGATTTAACTTTGTGTTACATAGGTGCAATATTTTAAAGTGGCACAGAAGTTTTGCAAAGTGTAAAAAACAAGTTCCCAAATTCTCTAAGTTCTCATGGGGGGCGATAACTTTTTAAAAAATATTTGGAGGAAGTATTACACATTCCACAGAAGTCTACTTAGAGTAGAGACAAAGACAGAAAGGTAATGAAATATAAGCCTAATTTCAGTCATTGAAACAGTACTCTTGCTTACATAATTAAGTACCTCCCTGAAGAACTGAGGATACATGGATCTAGAATACTGCAAGTATAGTAAGGTTTCATTAGTGAAAGTGATGCTAATATCTTATAAATGTTTTCTGGAAACCTATTTTTTAAAAGAACAAGCCACAGAAAATATGTTGCTATAACCTGCATCTGATAATAATAATAATAATAAATCTCATGTATTAAAAATTGAAAACATGCCATTTTATACATACACTTTAAACATACGCCTAGTTATGTATCTAAAACCACTTTGCTACTTCACTAAGGCTACATTATCTCCACAGAAGTCACAGAAATATGAAATTTATCATACAGCAGGGAAAATGGAAATTTCAGACTTTTCAGACATTCTTGTTACACTTGGCCCAAATGGTGTATGGACAATTAAGTGGCAGGTCCCTGGCAGGAGGGACAAGAGTGTTTCACAGGCAGAAGACCTGTTTGATAAAGCCAACTCTGATGAGACATCAGAGGGGTACTAAAAGCAGAAGGGAATGGGGAAAGGAGAAAAGGAAAAATCATCGAGATAGAGCACGTTTTTTTTCACAACTCTTGCTGTTATTTTAAGTTTCTCACTCTTAGCTGAGCTCAGAAAAATAGTTTGGCGGTTAGGCTTCGTCTTTTAACAGTCCTGAGGGAACTAAGCCATATGGGAGGTAAAATCTCCATGTTTACAGTCATAACATCTCAATAACCATAATTATTCCTGGGAGCATTAAGAACTTCTAGTTATTTATAAATAAGACAAAGTCACTTTTTGAAGACCCTGACAACTGAGAGGCAGAGCAGATGACAAAAGTTTAAATGGCATTTTGGCCTCATTAGCTTTAGAAAAGCAACATTAGCCACCACAACTTACCAGACATGGGGGAGTGATTTAAATACAGAGAAAAAAGCAGGCTTTATTAATGAGTTCAGGAAGTTTTCTATCTATTTTAAAGTCTTGCAAAACTAAAACCTATTAAGTAGATATGTTGCCCCAGGGATCTAATATTGCATCTTTTTCTTTTTATTACATTGTTGATGATACTATAAAGAAATTAGTTCAAACAATCAACTGAAATAAACCAAGTGAAAATTGATTTATTTCAGCTGACATTATTTTTGGATGGTTAGAAAACAGAATGTAGGTAAGGGTCTTTTCTGCCTTATTCATTGGGAGGAGAGGAGGCAAAGCAAGGAAATGGACTCACAGTACTCACTCACAATGCTCATGCTCCTCAGGTCAAATATTCAGCTATTTCTCCTCCACTAACAATTGCAAGGTGAAATATTAGGTGTTCTTTTTTTTTTTTTTCCTTTCCCCCAAAACTGTTCTTTTTCCTATGTACCATATTTGGTTTATTGTATTCTCCTTTTCACAGAAATCAGGAATACTTGTAACAACACTTGAAGTCTGGTTTCACCCCAAAACCCTGCACTTGTTTGTGTGACATTAAGTAACTCAAATACATCTAGCAAAAAGCATCAAATGGAAAATAGCTCTGACAACACTGCAGATTACTCTGAACTACAGAGATGGTAAAAAGCCAACTCAGATACATGATTGGATTAAGCCACAGCTACATGGAAGTTTAGACAGGCCATACAAGGAGACTGGGAAACTCACCTTCCATCTAAAGAGCTGCTGGAATTTGCAAATTTAATGGAAGCCATGGACAGCTCTAAGTATAGACTTAGAAAACACTGTAGCAGATTCTGCTGGAAAGCCATATGGGTTTTGTGGAGCCAAATGTTGTTAGCTTATGAAACACACAAAAAAAAGCTACCTGCAATTTTTTTCAGTGCAATGCAAGCAGGATTTTTGCCCTTTGTTAAATGTTTATTTTGAAAGCATCAACAGCCATAAAACATTTGAATGTATCAATTCCAAAATAGAGTAATTTATGAAGTATCTATTGCTATGAATATTTACACCTGCATTTTATCCTTAAAGTTAGTCCTACAGTGTTGATCCTAGTTCTTGAAAAAATAAAGTATGAAATTTCAGTTTCCAAAGGGGCAAATATATTCTATCAGGAAATCAAACAACTAGACACAAGTTTGTGAATTGAAGTTAAAAAACAAAATCACTTTTTTTTTCTTTTCAGGCATGACTGAGATATTCTTAGCACTTCAGACAGCACTACAGGTCACACGGGCTATTAAAAAGTGCCAGTGAAATGTAACGCTGCTCCCCGAGATTTGCCATTTTGTTCCAAAGAGGGCATTTTTCCACAAAAATAAAATCTTACTAAAAATGGCTACACCAATTTTCAGCTTAAAACCTTATATCTAAAATAGTTATTTTGTCGAATAACATGTATCAGCGGTTTCAAACAGTAATCTGATAGGCATTAGTTTTGATGGAGCACGCAGTTATTTAGCAGTACTACATTTGTGGAGGATATGCTCCTGCACTGAAATACTGTCTACGAGCTCTCGAGCTTGTTGTTACCATTTTTGACAATAAAGAACACTTTTTCATCCAGAAAAATGTAAAATTATATTTGGCAGATATTCTGCTCTTAACCAAAACAGCTTCCTTTCACACTTTCTGAGGAGAAAGAGCTGGATTTTAAATGGCAAGTGTTTTTGGAGAGTACATATTTTTATATTTTAACATGGCCAAAAATGCAAAAATATTGAATAGAACACTGAAAAATTTTCATGTAAGAAAAAGATATGGCTATATAAAGACAAATGTACGTTACTATAAGGTAATAGCCTTATGTATAGTTATCCTGTTTCCTAGAAATATAAGTACACTAAATGACTTACACTTATTTCTTAGCATTGTGCATTAGATAAATTGTAAGGGATAATACATAGAATGCTTTTAACACAGTTGGGTCCATCTATTGCCATCGCCCACAGGTTATCCTTGGATGCACTCTGACTAATCCTGAATGCTGGAATTGACCAGACAACAAGTCTTCACTAAAATTTTAATGTAAGGACAACTTTGACAGCAGTAACTTTACAGTAAGAAAAAAACCCTGATGTCCTAGAAATACAACTGAAAGAAACCCAGACAATATTAAGCCCTTTGTTCTCCTTTTGATCAGTATATGTCACTCCATTTGACAGAGGAAAAAAATACTCAGCTTGACAGTAAAAAAATTATTCATGTACTCAGGCACACAATAATGGAGCTCCTTACAACAGTCTGTAATTCAGCATGTAACACAGGTCAGGATATGCTATAGCATAACATTCCATTACTAGTAGTTTGGACTCTCTTATGTCTTTAAAGTGCATTGTAACAAGCAAAGGGACAGTATGAAGTCTTGTTCAAAACCAGGAAAGAGTATTCTGTTCCCACTTTCAGCTGAGCTGGAGTAAACATGAGTTTAGTAAGAAATGTAAAGGAGTGCAGTGTATGCCTGGTAAGACATGGAGACAGCTATGGTTACCTACTTCCTAATTATTGCTTCACACCTTGCTCTTCTCAGAAGATCATATACTGTATCAAAGTTCATGCATTTGCCAAGTAAAGGACGCCAGCCAATTCATGGTGTACCCTTCAAGAGGACATATAAGTTCAAAGGAAAATGTATTTCCCACATCACTGAACTAAAACATGATCTATGTATGTTTACTGGCCAACTCAAGACGAAATGTGCTTATTAAACGCTGCAATATAGGAAATGTTAGTATTTCAACCCATCTTCTCTCTTTCTGGCAGACCAGGGATTCTTTTTGTCATCCAGCAACCTGTTTTCTTATTTTTCCTATATGAACTCTAATTTATGTGGATAAGTAGCCTCAAAATATCTATCCTCAATTTTACTTCTACAACATTTTAATTTAGAAAGTTAATTTGCTTTTCTTAGAATTCAGTTGTCTGCTGAGGACAATCTCTGTAGTGCTTATATTACACTCACACTGAATTCCAAATACCTAAATATTTTTTCTACATCAATTTTATTTACGAAGTAGAAATGCCTACCCTTGGGAAGGTTCCTAGAATTCTCTTGAGCCCAATATATGATGTCTATGTTAGAGTAACACCCAATTTTACATTTGATTTTATTTGCCTCAAGAAATCCAGGTATGTCTGGAAACTGGAAGAAATTAAAGATATGGTGGATTAGATTTTTTTTAATGCTATTATCTATCTTAATACCACTTTTACTTTTTCAGGTTGGTAACTCTTTACTGGAAAAGAAAATTACCATCTTTCCTTTTTGTTTCCTATGAAAATAAGAGTAAAAATGGGTATCTATGATATAATGGTAACAAGAAAATAGAAATCTTCACTGTGTTTTCTGTGTCAATCTGGTGAAAACTCATGCTTGAAAGACAAAGGTGTGAAAGGAGTAAGAAAAGAACATGTTCTCTGCTTTAGGTTGTAAAATGATTCTAGTGTCTTGATAGCCGGACCACTGTACTGCCTTCTGTGACCACCCCAGGATCTGCAAAATGCTGGTTATGAAAAAATGTACTCACTTCAGTAGAGGTAGGGCCACGATACAGGAATGACTTGATAATCTCTGGTCTGTGGTATGTTAAAGGTAGCTACAGCAGCCCATTAAAATTAGTGAATCTCTTAGAGAAATCTAAACAATACAAGGAGCATCTTTTTTTTTTTTTTCCAGGCTTGCTAATCACATAAGCCACTCCAAGCACACAAAAGATTTATCTGAAGTGCAGAAGACTGCTCATGTTGGCCCACTTCCTGTGCTAAAATCCTCAGCTTAAATCTAGTCTAATCTAGATACACTAATTTTACATCTGAAACTTTTCTATGCACTTAGAAAGGGAGGTTGTCTACAGGTATAAAAGGCTCCCATGACTAAATCCATGCCTGGAATAAATCAGTATATCTTAACTGAACTCAGTCGATATCAATTTTTACAAATTATGATCCACTCCCAGAAGTACATACAAACACTGAAAACCTTACACTCATATCTGTGATACTCTTCTATCTGTTTAGAGTGGAAATAAATGTAGTTCTGGAAAGAAAAACAGCAACAGAGAGAGATCATCTACACTTCTTTCAAATATGTCTTTTTTTATAAATAGTTCCAGACAATGGTTTTATTTTGCTAAAATAAAGTACTTCTTTATTTTGCAGAAAAGAACCATGCTTGTACCATTCTTTACAAAATATTTAATCAGTAAAGTAAAAACATAAATGTAAATAATGCCATTTTTTAAAAAAAATTCATACAAGGATATATCAGTGACTATACTGACAAAATATTCCCAATATTTGAATTTTGACCTGTGAAAGAAACTGAGTATTTGTACAGACTTGTAGGGACAGCAAAGGTGCCTGTAAGAGATGCATACAGAAGAAGGAAACTGCTGAGGGTTCACTTTTTTAAATTGCAGTTGTTAGTCATCAAAGCATGTTACTTATCAAAGCATGTTCTCCTTGTCTTATGTACCCCAAATGTTACTTCTACAATGAAATAATGATTTTTCTAAATATTATAAGATTTTATTATTGTGCTTACATGTTCATTCCAGGCATCCCCGGGCCACCTAAAGCATTCAGTGGGGGTCTCATTGCACCTCCATAGTTCTGCAATGATAACCAAGGGTCAGACTACCACAAAACAAAAAAACAAAACCAAAGAGGAGGGGGAAAGAAAGGACAGCAGGTTAATGATATCCCTACATAACTGCTGACTGGATAGGCCAATGTAATTCATTCTTTCAGGAGTTTCCATTGTTGACTTAAAAAAATAATACTGTTAACCCCAAGGAGAAACAATTACAAACAACAGAAATAGACTAAGAATACTTAAAATGTCAACTGTTTCAGGAGGAATTATTTACACATATAGAGGTCAAGTCAACGGCCAGCAAGGGGCAGGTTTTACAATGTATTCAACTTTTATACCAAGGGAGCTCATTCAAAATCAGAAACCTGGACTTAGATTCTAAGATTTCTACATCATGGAATTTAAATAGAATTATTTTAATTAGATTTTGTTAGGATATCAACAAATGCTTGTATAAAATTATACCATATGATATCACTTCTATAACATACAGCATAAACATTACATTTCTCTTCTAATCAGTCAATTCTAATAAGTCTATGGTAACTAATATGAAAAGTTTTTAACAAGATAATGAATGTCATAGCGATGCCAACAAATGAACTGCCCAATGCCTATAAAATATGGGTTTATGCTCTGATATTATGACAAAAGTTTAACTGTACTATTTACATGAAAAACTAAATTATACCTATTTTTATTCAGAGGAATACAAGCAAAACAGTCTGTCTCACCTCACAATCATAATGCACTCCCTAATCTGTGTTAATCCTGCTACATTTTTCTGATATTTCAAAAGAATGGATAACAGTAAATTCTCTAAAATGAACAGCTGTGCTTTTTGGAAGGACGGGTGGAACAAAAAAGTGATTTACTTTAAAAAGATCTAGGTCATTGTTGCAGTCTACTTTCCAATAATAAAACTCATACACTCTATTTCATGTATAGTATATTACAAACTGCATAAACTACATGAGCAGGGCTTATGGCTGTTCTCTATATTGGTCTGATTCACAAAACCATGTAAACACGAAGTCATGAATACATGTGAGAGATCCAACAGTGATATTCAAAGTGCGGGTCTGGTGCTGTTTATGCCTTGACTGATATGACATATCAGTTATCCAGAACCGATCTAGAACCGATCTACAACTAGGAGAGGAGGTTCTGTTGCTGCAAACAAACCCCCCAAACTTAAAATTTTCTTCATTGTTAACAACGCTTAAAGTGTCCCATCTAAAGCTGGTTTGTAAGAATACACCCAGAGGCTGCAGATGCCCTCTTCCAGACCCAGCCATCTGAAGACAGTATTATCCACAGCTGCTGGTCATCAATCACTACTCACTCCTGCCTTTTTGTGTGCAGCTGGTAGACTGATTGGTGTGCATGCTCAGGCAAAAGTCAGCCAGATTAACTCAAACCGTCTGTTTAACCTAGGTTATCCTAGATGATTTTGCCTGAGCAACTCCTCTGTCAGAACTGCAGGGCAGTAACTGGTTGGTAGTCAAAGCAGCTGGGCACAGTAACATCCCCAGCTGGCACTACTGGATCTGGAAGAGAACACAGTCTGACTGTAACAAAACAGCAGTCCTGTATCTGTTTTATTTCATTTTTCCATCTTGATGTGGAGGGCAGAGCCATCTCCCTGTTTGTTATGTCGAGTAACTCCCCTCTTTATTTTAATTCAGGAATCATTTGTGTGGACTGGGGTTAAAGATCTTTATGGAATCCTGCAGGACTGGAAGAATCCTAATCCAATGTACTTCTAATTACTGCTAATTCTAATCAGATGTACTCCTTCATCCTAAAATAAGAGCGCTTTCATTAAGGCTACCAATAGATGTTCCTTCAGCTGCAGCTATGCTCTTTGCAGAAGTTAGTGCCCCAATTTGTTCCTTACAGCTTTTTACTCGAAGTCACCACCACTGTTCGTCTGGCAGTTGAGTTGTTCATACAAGTGCTCCCTAACATCAGGTGGCCAAAATGAGCCAGATTAGCGAAGACTTTTTTTCTTAAATATTTAAGATGACCTGATTATTTTTGACTAGAAAGCACTAGGGACCATGGGGGAGGCTCACCAGCAGATAGGAAGAACGGGGAGAAGTAGCAGTCACAGATTGGAGGTAGTGCCCTATTCATCTAGCTTAACTACAGCTTGAAAAAAGCCTGAACGTAATTCTTTGGAGCTTTTAATAGATTCAAGCATTTACAACCATCCACTTCTTTTTGTTTCATGGTATTTAGTTTGAAACAGTCTAGAATCATAAAATACAAAACTAAGGTAAATTTTTGAGAACTTGTAAGTTTTGAAGCATACACATACTATACTTGCTATACTGGACATAAACATTTCTGTATGAGCACATTAAGTGTTTTGGAAGTTGATTGCCTGTGCAGCAAGTAGCAGGGCCTCCCACTAAGGGCACACCCAAGACAACTTTACAGCACTGTAGCAAGAGAATGTTAAAAGTAGCTGTGAAAGATTCATCAAATTTGGTTGTAGAACTGCATTCTAAGAAGATACTAAATGCCAGATGCAAAGATAGATGATGATCCATTTATAGAAAAGATTGATTTGTGAACTTAAATTTTGCGTAGATTACGCATTTTTCCCCATTTTAGGAGGATGTTCAGCACAAGAAAGAAGAACCTTACAGAAACACTGGATTTTAAGAAGACAGCAAAAATGGAAAAATTATCCTTATAAAAACTGGCATGAGATTTGCCTGCTGTGTGACTAATGTTGCTGCATAAAGTATCAGCTCAATCTCATATGGCAGCATTGCAAAGCTCCTCTTTTTCCTCCAAAAGGCAAGTGGTAAATATACTTCAATGCTACAGAAAAAATAACAAATGTATTTAATAATGGTTTGTTGGTTACACAGCAGATATTGTGTAGAACTGCACAACTGGTTGCTACCAAGAAGACCCAAAATTGTAAAGACAGCTAGGAACAGATTTGAAAGGCAAAGCTATTTAATCATTTAAAATTCAGTTGCTATTCCAAGGAACAAAGAAGTCACTAGAGAGATTATCTGAAATGGGGAAGTAAAAATGCGAAGTGTGGGCACAACAAGCACACTGTAAAACAAAATAATGGCAACCCTGGTATGAAACACCACCACCTAAATTTTCTCTCACTGAGTGCACTGGCAAAATACAGAATAATCTTTCAGATTCATATTTCAGGTATGCATAAAAATTAGTTTGTTTTCTACCTTAGTTTTCTGTTGAAATGTAATACTGACAAATATCCACCCATATTTTCACACTTTTGAAGAAAGAGCCTATGAACAATTATGACCAGGTCAGCACCATGGAGAAGGCTGATTCTTGCAATCCAAGGTTGCTTTGCTCCTCAAAAACGGAGCTAGAGATGATTGTGATTGACAAGGGGGAGAAATGGCAGCATGAACTTCTCATTTTACATTAAAATCTCTCTAGCACTCACCAAAAATCTATATCAATAGTGGATAAAAGAAAAACTTTACAGAATTTTGAGGGGTATTTTTGGTACAAAGAGTTTGCCTAAGTATTAAACCTTTCCTCCTAAACAGCATCATCAATTAAGCTGGGAGGATGAGGAAACACCTACTCGGTCCTTGGTCTCCTTTACAAATATCAGCCTTTGATTACACCATCCATTGGCTGTAGGACGAACATAATGCTTCTGAAATAAGCAAGTTAACGGATTCCTCTTTTAATTTCAAATATTAATTAAAACGACTGATGTTTTCATTTTAGACTTTGTACACCTGCAACTCAGCATTAATTTTTGTAAAACAGAAAGTTTATTTTAAAATGTGATTAGAAGAACAAGTCCTCACCATCTTCAAGCTATGGAATGCCAAAGTAATATACTATAAAGTATAGGGCTATTAATAAAAATAAGTATCTATGTGTGGAAGGTACCTGTGGTCCTAAAGGAACCATTCCCCTTGGAGGAGTCATTCTCTGCATTGGCCCACCCATGTTTGGATGCCCTGCAAATAAAATCATGCAACTTAAAAAACTATGCAATACACAAGCATCTTCTAAAGTGACTTTAACAAATCATTCCTTTTTAATTAACAAAAAGCTTAAAAAGCTGCAGTCAGCTTTGAAACACAGAAAGAAAGACGCAAGTTTGGGAAGAAAGTACCTGAATGGTCCAAATAATTATTTCATTCACCTTGCTGCCGTGTTGGGTCCATCCCGCTAGGCAATAATGGCTGACTTCCTGGGACACCTCCAAGTGCCTGCAGGCATAGAAACCATATGTTAAAAGCATATAAAGCTTTGAAATTTATGTTAAAGACATAATGCAGATATTTTGTTTTTAATTCCCTGTTGTTTCTTCTCAGTCAAGAGTAATGTGGAAGAGTTAGCTTTCCTAAACACCCTAACTAAATGTCCTAAGTCCCTAACTAAACTAAAAGTCCTAAATGTCCTGCGACCCTGATATGCATTTGCATGGACCAAGTCTTGGACTTCTGTGGAATTATGTATAAAGAGTTTCCAAAATTTAATTGCCTAATTTGCCCTCCCCCCCTCCCCCCCATATTTCCTTCACTTCAGCTTACCTGTTATTTAACCTCCAAGCACTGCCTTTTTCCTGGGGACATGGCAATTTATTCAAAGCTTATATTGCTACCATTTTCCCTTTTAACCATTATTTTAAGAGGTCAGGATGCAGACACTGATACTCTCTAACAGTGAGCCATAACTGAGCCAACTGCACAGGATTCACAGGGTATGGTTAATTAGGGCTGTGACGTGGTGGACTTTTTGTCTTCCACTGTGCCTTACTCTTGAAGGGCATCAATCCCAAGATAAGCTTATTATTCAGCTATGGGAGATAACAACAGTCACAAAACTTGCTCCTAAATCTTGCCTTCAAGCATGAAGGTACACTGTGTTGTTACTTCACCTCTGGTCCAAATCAAACACATTGTTTTTATGTCCCCACATTTTAATCTGCCATTTGGATTTATAGTAACTGAATTAGGTTTAAGGCTAATTTCTTACCTATAGTTTAGTCAACTAGAAAAATGTTTTTATGAATGGATCTTTGTAGCTGATCCACTAGGCGCTATTCAGCATTTCAAAACAACTTTTTCACTAAAAATGTATCCAGAATGAGTAAATCTGTTACTATGAAAGAAAGCTATTCAGGCTTACAGGTACAGGTATTGCTTACTGTGGGAATGGCTAAGTTACTCTTGATGTGGAAATACTGTAGTAGTCTTGGATACATACAAAGGGGAACCTATCGCAAATATTACACAGTTTGTGTCCACAAGAGGTAGGAAATAAAAAATTATGATGCACGTTATTACCTCTAATGTAATACAGTCAAATGGTACTGCACTGCAAGTTTAATGGAATAAATAATCTGAGATGACATAATTTAAATCAGAGTTTTACATACGTGTATTTCAGTGGCTAGAAGTCTGGATGATACGTAAGAACGATACATGATGTGCATGGAGAAGTGTCAAATACTAGCAAAGCAGGAACTGGTCACTTCTGCCAGAGATGGCAGGTGACATACACAGACATAGAGGCATTTGCTGGTGTGAGCACACATGACCGAAGACTTAACTCATGCAGTCACTACACAGCACATCATTACATGAGGGACTACCAATTCCTTTCTAACACGTCATACCACTTTTCAAGAAAAACAAGTGTACCTGCACAGCACAATGCATTGCCAACAGCAAATACCCTTGTGGGGCTTGATCTCATAGGATGTGATCGAGTACTGAAGGCAACTTAGGGGCACTCATGTGACACTCGGTAGGTACTAACTTTCCTTGCTACAAAGCCTAGATCTAGCTCAGATAACTCTTACACAGCACCGCACTGTGCTGTGCGCACATGCCCTGTGTTACCCTTCCTTGCCTAAGAAACACAGTCCCTACTGCAAGGCATTAAGGAATATAGGAACAGTGGGAATTTTAACTCTGATTTTTACTGACTCCCATCTAATCAAAATTTCAGCCTTAAAGCTGCACTACAATAGTTTATTACTTTACACACTGCCCATCTATACTGTAACTTAAATAATGGCAGTGTTGTTAAAAGCAGTAATTCATGCACACAGCATAATGTAAATGAATTGCAAGAGCTGTAATTCACTGAGATTATGTTACAGCTCTGAACTGAAAATATCACAACATGCAGACAGAAACACTTTCGAAACTAAAACTGCAGGTTGGCAGGACTTTCACAGCACTCACCACATCCAGTTTCTACCTGCCAGTATTTACAGTGTTCAGAAACACAGAGAAACAAAGAATATGTAAAATCCAAACAGTGGTGTATCTTTGGCTAAGATATTACTGAAACGTACAAAACTCAGGAAGATGTTTTGTACTGAGTTACAGTATGTCAGTAACAAATATTTAAATAAAGTGCTAATGACATTGCACTCTTATGTTGTTCCTTCATGATCACTTCAGTGAGGTTAATCAAGCCACCCATCTCCCTTGTGAGAAAGTAGTTATGGTACAGGTAACTTATCCTGCTCCCAAACATCACCATGTTTGATGTAGAGAAATACCTGAAAACATCTTGCCACCTGATATATCCAGCTCACTAAAATTTAAACTTGATACTTTCTGGCAATATTGTGCCAGTGCTAGACAAGTTTCTTGATATTCTGTTATACAGATAAGAAAAATACCCGGAACTGAGGTTGGGGCCTAAAAGTCTCCTCATCAAGCTGTGACAACAAGAAAGGCAGTCCTGGAAGTCTAACCTGGACCAAAACACCCATTCCATCTACCCCATCAAACCTTGCCAATATTGTAAATGATCCAGTTTTTCTTTCAGAGCTCCACTGATATTTTTCTGTCTGTTTAACTTTTCATCTGCTGACAACTGCTTTCTCCTCCTCTATCTGCACTATGGAGAACTTAAAAGTACAAATGCTAACGGCTTCCAGAACCATCTTTTCACAGATGGGCCAATAAAGGTCTCTGCAGACGAACAGCAGCTCATTTCTCATTCTTGTTGCACTGGTATGCATATCCTTTGATATAGATGAGAGAAAATTGGAAATCTGATGCTTTTATAAAGTCCTCAGACTGTCTGTAAGAGCCATAGAGCACTTCATGATATCTGTTTCTCAGCAATAATTTTCGTATTTACTATGAAATAAATATACTTCATACAGTGAACAAAGAATAGTGATGCATTTTACGTAGAATTAAGTAGAAAAATTCTCAGAGCTAACTGCTTGATGTGGTTAGGAAGCTTTACAGAGTGTAACAGTTATGGGGACATTCTGCCTTCATCTCAGAGCAGACAGCATTGGCTGGCTGGTTAATGCAGCACCACACAAGGCAACTATATCCTCCCTCTGCCAACAGGCTTAACATACAATAAATTTTGAGGTGTAGACACTAATTAAGCACAGGAAAGTGAGCTGGGAGTGGCATGGCCACACCTTATCAAAATAACTATTTAATGGTCAGAAAAAATGCGGTGGAGAGGGGACTGAGTTAGTTTTGTAGCCAATGAACCACTGGTAGCCAACTAGACAACATTCCCTGTTCCCACCACTGCACCATCACCCTGGACCACAGGAGTGCATCAGTGATAAAATCTTACCTGATTGGGTATTCTTAAAGGTGGCCTTGGACCTCCAGGGTACCGAGGGGACATGAAAGGCTATGGAAAAAAAAGAGAAATACTGCTAAATAATTCAACTTAGCTCGTAATTACTGCATTGAGTCATTGGGCGTATGGCTTGTGCCATGCTTACACCTCAAGCATCCAGTTTAAATACTTCCACAGAGTGTTCAGCATATTATTCTACAATGTTTAGCAGAACTAAGTAAATTTAGAGATTCTTAGTGAATACATCTATCAAGATAAATTATTTAAAACTTTGTTACAGCAATTGTGAATGCAGAGTGTAAACAACAATGCATTTACAGTGAAGAAAAACTTTGTTACAGCAATTGTGAATGCAGAGTGTAAACAACAATGCATTTACAGTGAAGAATAATAAACCATTTCAATCATATAATCACACATCTATACTTTCCACTGGAGAAGGGGGAAAGATAGGAACATTGGAATAGAAAACAGATATGTTCTTGGGAGAGTCAAGAATAATTCACAAATATTTTCCGTTCATTTTTTCATAATAATACAGAAAAATGCAATACAAGATTTAACCTGTGAGGGCACAGATTTCAAGTTTATGTCGTAAATATTTAGAACATTGGTGGTTCCATTAACTATATTAATTCAATGTTGCACTCCTCCCATCCCTCCATGCTCACACAGTAAATCTCCTCTCTCAAAACCAAATTTATACCCAAATCTGTCATACCATCCTGCACCTTGTGAGGTTCTAGTGGTTCTTGGTTACTACTATACTACTTCATAGCCCACAAACAAGGTCAGTCCCCTATGATAAACAAATGGTAGTACCAACAAATGCATTTAACATCCTTACTTATTCCATCCCAAAGCATGACAGTAATCTAGAAATCTAAAGAGCTGGGAGATTAGTGGCAAATGTAAGACCTACAGGAAAAAGGCAAAAAAAGGTCTGACTAAACAGGTGATGAAGAAGATAATTTTGGCAATCAGGTACCTATAACTCCAGAAGAAAATGAAGAACTAAAAGCATGCTTTGACTGTGAACACAGGGACAAAAAAGACTGATTCTTTACATCATGAAAGAGGAGCTCACTTCTGTTCATGACACTGCCACTGGAGACAAAGGAGAGATAAAGGGCAGGAGTCTGCTGGGACTTCCCAGGGGCAATCTCTGATGACAAATGAGCTGCTGCACATTTAAACCCACTCTTTGGGGTCCCTTCAAAAAGAGACAAATATACCTACACAGGCATCACGTAGTCAGCTGTAGCTAAGGACCACTGGCAGGTCACCAAAACTGTGTGATCAACATCACTGTTTTACAAATGAATGGCATGTTTCAGCTCCATTAGCAGCACTGTGTTATAAACTAAAATGCCAGTGATCATCAATGCTAGTAACGCATGTATTAAGAGTAGCGATAACTAGCAAAGGAATTATAATTATTTTACCAATAATTAGTAATGGAATTTTTCCTATCATCTTGCATAAAAAAATTCAATGGAATCTTTCACATCTTAGAATCCGATGACAGCTGAAATAATGTAAACTACATAAACATGCATTCAAAATAGGTACTAGAAAGCAATTTAAAATACAGAGGGTTTACAAACTGGAGAACAAAGTTCAATGCCAATTGTGAAAAGATTACTTTAATAAAAAAGCATTTGAAATTATGTGCTATAGAAGAGGGAGGCTTCTTCATGCCCTGTCTCTGATGGTGAGATGCTCTGATAAAGAAGAAAGAAAAAAGGGTTGCGCATGTGGTGAAGGCTGTAAACATGCAGGCCCTTGTAAAGCAGTACAAGTGCGAGGAAATTAGAATTTCAACAGTTCCCATAAAGGTCAACCAAGTGCATTGTATGGAGTGCGGCACACTCTAGTGAGTATCTTGGATTTGGCTTACCTCATTCAGCAGACGAAACCTTAACTTTATTTACAGTTGTACAGCTCGTAAAAGGGAAATCAGCAGTGTCTCTCAAGTCAACCCTATCTTAATGTAGAATCACACTACTAATATTAGTATATAACGGTGTGTTATTGGCAGAACATCTGCTCCTTTCAATTACGATGGAAACCTGCTTGTCCCCTCTCTTCCCAGTGGGTTCACCTTTTAATGGAATTTATAAAAATACCTAAAAACTTATTTTTTGTATGGAGTTGAAATTTTATTTAAAAACCTGAAACAAATACCCCACTGCATTAAGGAAAGAGGCTTACTGATATAAAGTTGCAATTTTACTTTTCAAAGTACGAATCACATTGTTTCTAGTGCCTGACAATTAGAGGCCATATTTTTTGGTTTGCTGTGCCCCTGAGGTCAGTAGTTGCTTCAGATTTTTGAGGTCTGGATCTAGGCAGGTCTCTAGTCTACTTAATAAAAGCGTCACAGACTAAGTCTAGGATTCTTCTCTGAAATTATATATAAGTCATTGTTGTAGTTTAATGCCAGCCAGCAACTAAGCACCACGCAGCCACTCACTCACTTCTCCCCACCCACTGGGATGGGGGAAGAGAATCGGAAAAAGTAAAACTCGTGGGTTGAGATAAGAACAGTTTAATAGAACAGAAAAGAAGAAACCAGTAATGATAATGATAACGCTAACAAAATGACAATAGTAATAACGAAAGGATTGGAATATACAAGTGATGCACAATGCGACTGCTCACCACTCGCCAACGGATGCCCTGTTAGGTTCCCGAGCACCAATCCCTCCCAGCCCCACTCCCCCCAGTTTATATACTGGGCATGATGTCACACGGTATGGAATACCCCTTTGGCTAGCTGGGGTCAGGTGCCCTGTCTGTGTCCTGTGCCTACTTCTTGTGCCCCTCCAGCTTTCTCGCTGGCTGGGCATCAGAAGCTGAAAAATCCTTGAGTTTAGACTAAACACTACTGAGCAACAACTGAAAACATCAGTGTGGTAGCGAACATTCTTCTCATACTGAACCCCAAACATAACACTACACCAGCTACTAGGAAGAAAATTAACTCTATCTCAGCCAAAACCAGGACAGCCATGAATTTTTTTTTTTTTTTTTTTGAGGCACTGTTTCCTAAGGAGGCATCAAAGCAGACTTTAATTTGAGAGCCAGTGCATCTATTCTTAACTGACTTGTTAGTTCATTGCATGGAATAACTACAGGAGACTCTTTGATACAACTCTGTCTTACAAGAAGGTTTATATACTGTAAATATTTACGTATCAATGTATTCCCCTTAGACATATTTGTGGAAGTATTGAAATCTTCTCCTATTCTTTAAGCAATTGAACCCAAGTGGAACTGCAATGAATGACTTCATCTAGTAAATTTCAAATAGTTTTTATGGTTCTTGATGACCCATGGATACAAACCTTGCACAGTTCTATAGGCAGGAAAATACATAAACAACTGGGAAGCACAATTAATGTTTTGATGAATATAAGTAAATAAAGGTCCATACAGCATTGCAGAAAATGGTGAGATAGTGATGTTCAAGGACAATTCTGAAAAATTTTACACTGTTTTGGGCCAAGATTTAGTACTTAAGTTCACCACAAAAATTCTACCATTAAAAAAGAAAAACTTAAATATTCGCATTTTTGTCCCAGTTACTAAACATCTCTATCACCAATGCCATGTTTGTCCACAAAAAGTTCTACCGAGATGCATCAAGACAACAAAGAAATTCTGTGAAATGTTTTAATGAAAATAATTTAAATATGAACAGCTTTTCATTAATTGGGAGCATTTTTTTCAAGTCACACACACACATTACTAAGCACCAGGCATTCTGAAAGATACGAACTCAAGCAGCAGGCACTTTCTGTCACATGTTGGTTTGCTACACCCTTTGTAAATAATAGGAACAGCTGACACGAGTCTCATCTAGTTTTAATTTATTGTTAAGAGTTGCTGAAAGGACCATGGCTTAGGGAGGAACCACTGTGAACGTACATTTTTTATGGCTAGTAGCTCTCTTTCATTGACTTCTTGGGAAACTTTTACTTCCCCTTCTCTTAACGTTATTGCAGCACATACATCACAAAAAGTAATGGGTTCAAAATATGGGCACCACATTAAAACCAGTGATCACAGATTTTGAATTGGTCGGTGCAGCACTTGCCTTCTGAAGACCAAAAATAACTTCTTTGCATGTTGAAGACTCAAGACATTTCTGCCTGCTACCTCAGGCTTGTGTCAATTCAAAATCCAGAATCTTGATAGTCCAAAATCTTTAATGGATCCCCACACTAAATTCTCAGGAAGACAAACTCCTTGTTTGCCTCAGAGTTCAACGGGGGGGGTGGACACATGACTGGATAGGTGCCATGCCAATGAATCAAACACTTCCTTGCTTACCCCAGCTAGCAGGGAGGGAGAGGGCTGTCAGCCATGCACAGAGTACAAGAGCACTTCTTCCATCTAAGGATTATAGACATGTGACTGTCCAAAAAATAGTCAGGGTAAAAATAGAAAGAAATAATTAAGCTGGAAAAACATGCCAAAAGATAGGTACTGCGATTTATTAATGCAGCAGTAAGTTTACCTATCAGGTAGGAACAAGACAGAAGGACAAAAGATATTTTCTCCTACAGCCCTCTCTGTGCAAAAGGATGTAGGATACTCTTCAAATACTACATCTGGCATTTCAGGACCAGATCTTGCTTAAGATGTTGTTGTTAAGCCTGTCTAACGGAAACCAATCTCGAAGCTGATCTGACTGAGGAAGAAGGGTCATTATTACCAGAGTGGCTCCATCCCACAGTAATTTCCAGGTGCTCAAATGGCTCTCAAGGGTTTCCAGTCACTGCTGCAGCCTTCAAGTCCCTCTAATCCGCAACAGGGACATTACGCCAAGTACAAGCGCCAAGTGTGCTACTGTGCGCTAACCTAAGCTACAATTAACTTCTCAAACAGAGTTCAGGAACTGGCACATACACTGATGTATTAAGAAAAGTAAAAAAACAAAACAAAACAAAACAAAACACCAACCCCCAAACCAAACAAAAAACAACCCCGAAACCAAACAAAAACCAAAGCAAAATTTAAAAAAAAAAAAGGGAAAAAGAAAA